TAGTGCTTACCTCGGACAAAGTGGAGCTACTTGACTTATATATTCTAAGCTGGCATATGCTAGTGTACTCGTTTTGTGACCACAATGCATTGGGACACACCGAGGCAGGGAAGCGAAAAACTTCGTGAACTCGAGGAGCTCGTGGAGAGCTCAGGCCAGGCCTGCTGCAGATGCCGAGCTGTGTGTGTAGCCGATTGCTTCCAAGCCATATATACCTTGGCTGTGGCATGACTGAGCTTCTATCGTACACTTGGCATGGAGGCTTCTTTCGTGAGAACTTCGACATCCACACGGGCATCGGCGATGCTGTGGATTTGTCGGACAATGAAGATGAAAACGGCAAGAAGGAGGGAAGCAAGTCACGCGACAAGGGCCTGCCCGAGATCGATGGGCCGGAGACTTTGAAGGAGTTCGTGAACAAATACAAGAAGAGTCTACTCAACCGGCGGGCTGCGTTCAAGGAGGTTTCTGAGCGCTTGCAGGCAGAGGATGCCAAGGGCCAGACGATGCTCGATATGATAATAGATTTTATATAAACCCCAAATGTATTCCTTTCCTGTCTCGCAAATATTCCTGCCCCAGCCAAGGGATGATCTGAAGGAGGCCGAGTCAGCTATGGGACACTCGACGCAACAGGTTATATAGTCGGATGCGTATCTGATTTCCCCGAAACCGTTGCTGTGCTGCAGGAGTGGTCAACGACTTGTACAAGCAGATCTGCGCTTGTCTCTTGGCGAAGGAGGCTACGTTCTGGTGCTCCTGTGGCTCGGGTACTCCTGGCGGTTAAGTGCTAAAATTGCCATGAGGATCGTTACTTCATTGGCTCGTCTTCTGACTCTCCCACCTTCCAATGTCTTGCACACGACAGTTAGAGCAGCCGTGGCAGTCCCTGGGCCTACGTGGGTGGATGCAGCTAAAGGTGTGGCGTGGTCGCTTGGAGTGTCCAACGTACCGACCTGGGAAACGTTGCCCAGTGAGGTGAACTCCGCGCCGCTGATTAAACTCCACATCCAGCATTGGAAGCGCCATTGTGTTGTCCCAGTCATCAAGCACCTGGAAGAGCGTTGGCGCGCGGAAGCGTTGTCGAAGTTGGCATGGGCACCTCCAGCAGACTTAAGAGCCACCGTTAAGCTCACACGTTCCTTGCTGTGGACGCCTAGAATGCTGAAAGCTTGCAAGGTGTGGTTTCTGGCCGTCTTGACAGGGCGAGGTTTTTTCGAAGGGTGGTTTAGAGGAGCTGAGCACTCGGTTTCCGAACGACGTTGCTTGTTGTGTGGAGCCCAGCCGGCCAATCTTACAGTGCACCTGGCAACTGAGTGCCATGAAGCATTGGAACTGGCCAGGGCTGCGAGTCTCCAACAAAGCCAGTTGTTCTCGTTGCCTACAGATGTCACCAGCCTTAGAAGCCGCATTAGTGTTATGGTGAACATCATCCAGCGTTGGCAAACTTGAGTCGGCTAAAATGGCGCGGCGTGGCAGGAATTATAATTACTGATTGACACATACGGACGTGTTGGCCGTAGACCCCTCGGGGTAGTGGCACTCACGCCGTATTTCTAAGATCCGTCGGAGGATCAGCCTGGCCATTGAATTGAATTGAATTGAATACATACATACATATATATATATATATATATGATATGATATAACACTCTCCCTCTCTCTCTCTCTCTTTCTCTATTTCTCGCTGTTTCTCTTCCCCTCTTGCGGTGTGTACATCCCCTTCGCAGGTCAGTCGGCAATTTGCAACGTTTTGGAGAGCTACCTGGTATCCTGGTATGTTTAACGAGGGTCGTTTCTTTGTCTATGCATGTTTACTGCATTCATCTGAGGCACATGGAGCTGCCCATGCAGCACGCATTGCTTGGGATACGCATCAAACGATGATGCCTGGCAACCCTGGGTATGTGGAGCTTGTTCAGCTCAGCTTGGCGCACACTACAAATTCGGACAAAGAAACGGTCTTTATGAATAACGTCGTTCGTTTGGGTTTCTGCTTGATGACACAGCCTGTTCGTGTTGCAGTGCCTCTTCGACAGGGGGCTGCTTGGCAATACATAATCCCTATTCGGGATCTGGCTACCGAGATTCTTCTGAAGTTTCCTCAGAAACTGCTCTTTGGGAACAAGGGCGATAGTGACCAATCACTCGCAACGGTGGGTGAAGCACTGGAGCAGTTTTGGAGCAACTTCAAGGCAATCAGGCCCAGACACCCCGTCTTCGATGATCATGCTCATGAGTTGGGGCGAGTCATTCCTTGTCGCCTGCACATGGATGAGGGCACATCTCAGCGCAAACACGCTGTCATGCAGGTGAGTTGGGGACCAATTTTGAAGGATGGCCCAGCCAGTGTGAACCATTGCTTTTATTTCACGAGCATCCTGGGAGACAGCTACAAGGAGGATCACTGTGGATATGCTGGTGGGAATACCGTTCTGGATGCGATTTCAAAGCACCTTGCAATTCACTGCAAGCAAGCATATTACACTGGCATGGAATTTGCCTCCGAGCGCTTTTTCCTGGCATGGCTGGGTCTGGAGGGCGACTTACCTGCGCAGGCCCGTGTGCTGCACCTCGTGCGCAACTTCACTTGCACTCCGAACCTGTGCTGCCCATGGTGTAAAGCAGACGATCGTGACACACCGTATGCAGATTTCAGGCCGAATGCCCGATGGAAAGGAACTGTGGGTGTCCAAGTGCCCTGGAATATCCCATCGCCTCTTCATACCATACCTGGTGCTGAAACTGAAGAGTTCTGTTTGACAGACATTTTTCATTTGTGCCATTTGGGCATTGTGCGAAGTGGGGTCGCGTCCCTGATTTGCTATCTTTGCTACAGTGGCCCTTTTCGCCACAGTGGCAACAGCGTTCCTGCGCGCCTACACCATGCATACAAGCTTTTTGCAGACTTCTGCCGACATGTGCTTAAGGCCAGCCCCCACATGAAGGATTTCACCAAGGACAATCTTGGATGGGATAGCATGAACTGCATGCCTGAATCTTCCATGAACCTTGGTCTGTGACTTCGGCACGTTTTGTCGCAATAATTGTATCGCGCATGTTTCATGCTGAAATATTCAACCGAGGAAAGGTTCAGATTGCACCTTGATCATGAAGTTTCTCTTGGACCTCCTGGGACAGCCATGGCTACTGGATGATGTGGCAATATATGCTCTTCAATGGCTGGCTGCTATCAACGACTTCCTGCACCTCTGCTACACCACGGATCGTATTTTCTTGACGCCGGGACAAAGCCAGATTGCGCATGGCCATTTGTGCAATTTTGCAGAGAAGTATCACGAGTGTGCAATCTTGTGTTTTCAACGGAAGCTTCTCTTTTTCAATCTTACCCCCAAATTTCACTATATGCTCCATGTCCGGGATTCGCTCGAGCTTCGACCGCAGCAGAAGCTATATCTGAACCCTGCAGCCACAAGCACGCAAATGGACGAGGATTATGTGGGCAGGGTAAGCCAAAGCAGCAGAACGGTGCATGCTCTTGGTGTGCCTCTCAGGGTTGGCCAGAAGTGGCTCGTGTACACACACATGAGATGGTCAGGGCAGTTTGTGTGATGATCTACAAAGTCTTTTGACTTATATGGCCGTGCAATGCTTGTATCGTGCTGACCTGATGTTTCTCTCTGCAAGACAATGGCTGGAGCATCCGTCGTGCGAAAAAGACTGAAAGTCATGATGCAGGGATTCCTTGGGAAGTATGGGTCTTCAAGACTGGAAACCAAGAATTTTCATGAAACCGAATATAGGTAGTTATGGCCCAAATACCAACAAAAGGAACGCCAAACCAATGTACAGGTATGATGATACGGCACCGAATATTTAGGGTACCCAAAAGGGACCCTAATTTTGACAACTGCCCATTTGAAGATGACCCTAAACCCTGAACCCCAAACCGTGACGGCATTTTTGCGACCGTGCGAGAAAGGGGAGAGCAGTTAGGACGTGGCGCTTCGTAGGCAGGAGTCGGGAGTTTAGAGCCGATCTGGGTCTGCGGCAGTGTAGTGTTTTGAGCTGGGTGCGATGATTTTTTGGGTTTAGGGTTTAGGGTTTGGGGTTCAGGGTTTAGGGTTGAGGCTTCGGGAAGCTGCAAAAAGTTGTCGGTCGCAACACATGCATTCAAGCTTGTCGTGTGGAAGGTTGTGTACACTTACCAAATAAGCCACACAACTAATGAACAACTTCTTCTCCCGATGTAGAACACCAAGGGCCGGGCAGCAAGCCTACACCCAGAGGCCCAAAGCGCCCTAAAACAGCCTGAACTGAGCACCCTGAACCCCTGAACCATCAACCTTAAACCCAAAAAAACAGGAACCCCAAAATCCCCTGCCCTAACCCCCCCAAAACCTAGCCCTAAAACCTGAACCCTAAGACCTAAACCCTCAACCCCCAAAACAATTATGAGCCCTAAAACCCTAAACCCTTAAAAGAGCAGGAATAATTTGAACATTAGGTCTTTTCGGCTACAGGTACTAAAGGGGCATTGCCCGTACCATTTTTGGTACTACAGTCAAACCCCCATAAAGTGGGACACCGGATTAAGACCAAATAGTGCTGGGATTCTCTATACATTATTCTTTAGGATTGAGGCTATTGGGTTTCCAACTTTTGGGCTTCTACCGTTGCCAAATTTAGGGACCTTACTAATTTCAATATGGTTTTGGGGGGCCCAATATACTTTAGTTATAATAAGGAACCCCCAAAACAGTACACCCAATTTATTAGGCTTCTAGATCAAACCCCTAGGGTCCAAAGGACCCAAGAATTAGGTACTTGGGCTTAGGATAGTAGTTCTCTAGGTTTATATTTGGGAGAGTATATGATTATTAGGTACTTGGACCCTTACCCCAGGGCTCTAAGGACTCACATTTTAAGGCTTTTGGGCCTAGAGACCATATTCTATAAGGCTTTTGGGCCATTTTGAGCTTTAGGGTTAGGGAAACCCCCAACCCTAAACCCTAAACCCCAAACCCTAAACCCTAAGCCTGCTGCGTGGTCTTCGACTCGCCCGGAAGATCCCAGGGAGGCGGATCTTCGCAGTGCGGAGGCTCTCGAGACACAGGAGGATCAGAGCTCCTTCGTCGCTCTGTTTGGGGTTCTTAAAGAGCTCAGGGTTCTGAAGGGCTTTAGGGTTTAGGGTTCTGAAAGGAATAGGGTTTAGTTTTCAGGGTTTAGGGTTCTGAAAGGAATAGGGTTAAAAAGAATATATGAACCCAAATAGCCTACCTATTTAAGGACTTACATAAGGAAACCGCAATAAAGAACCCGATAAAGGTAGGTTCTTTTGGGTCCAGGTCGTTGTTTCGCGGAGCAATGGGTGTTATGGGGTTTCAGAAGGGTAGGTTTCTAAGAACAAGAAGGGATTTCAGAGGACTCTCGGAGACTCTACGAGGGTTTTTGCGATGGGCGGTTTGAGGCTTAGGGCTTCTATAATGTTACCACAGCGGTTTTCGATTTGGGTGCTTGTCAAAATTATGGTCCTTTCTGGGTCCCTAATATAGTACGGCACCTAATATTTAGGGTACCCAATAAGGGACCATAATCTTGACAACCACCCGTTTGAGCTTGACTAGGGTCAGGCGAGACTCTGTTGGGGCTCTGGGTTTTCCTGCACCAGCTGGCTCTGATCTTGCTGTGACGCGGCCTGCCCCCGGCGACGGGGAGGATTAGCAAGACGATGCAAACGACGACGATAGTCCTCACTCTCCGTCATCATCCTGAGGTGGAGTTGAAGTTGTTCGGGTTTAGGGTTGCTATGTTTTGAACGACCACGGTCCTTCTGTATAGGTTCGGCTTTACTAGTGTAGGCAAAAAGTGATTCAACCATCGCCATGCAGCATCAGCCACCCCTTCTCTTCAGCTTCTGTCACGCCGCCTGGACGATTATAACACCAGCAAGAGCCAGAGTGCACAGTGTGTGGGCTTGAAAACCAATCCCCCCCCAACCCTGAGCACTAGAATCCCGGGCCACCCTACCAAAGAAAAACACCCGAAACAGCAAACCCGTCGCTTCTTCGCAACGTTCGCTCCTGTAAAGGCTTTGTGGCAAAGCGCCGCCTTAGTTGCTGAGTTCATAAGCCCCCAAAGGTGCACACTTTGAGTTTTATAGTGGCTACTACTATCCCAAAAAGTGTAAAGTGTATCCACTCAGCTACCCAGCCGCGACCTCCTCTTTCAGCCGTTTAATCTCCGCCGCTGCAGGGTTCACCGCTTTCCATTTGCCACCCTCCTTCCAGAGCCTCTGCTGCTTGACGGCGTTAGACTTTGGGAGTTTCCGAAAATCGGGGACCCTAATATAGTACCCTAAATAGTAGGATCCTTATTACAAGGTCCCCAAAAGAAGGTGCCCCTGATTTTCGGAAACTCCCATTTGGTTACTATAGTCTCTCCATTGCAGTTCTTTTTTCTGGTTTAACTAATTTCATTTTCGGAAGCCTAAAAGGTGCGTAGCCCAGAAAAAGGAAACTATAGCCCCTATGATAAATCCATAAAGTAGCCGGTAAAAGGAACGATAATGGAGACTATAGGTCATGGGGACCCTTAGAAGGGTGGGGGGGGGGGGGGTAGGGGACTATACTTCCTTGAATAAGCCTTATTACGTCCCCCTCCCTCCCCACCTGGCCCTGAGCCTAGTCGAGTCAGAATTCCTCAGCCCTTAACCCGAAACCCCTTAATGTAGGGGCCTTTATGGGTTCTATAAGGGATCTATAATAGGGTTCTTTTATATAGGGACTTTAATAACTTAAAGTAGGGTTTTGGGGTACATTATACTATAAAAAATAGTAATAGGTAATTATGAAGGCCCTTATAACTTAAAGTAGGGTTTTGGAGTACATTATACTATAACTATAATAAGGAACCCCCCAAAATAGTACAGGTAATTCTCATAATAAGGCCCTTATCCCTAAGGGTCCAAGTACCTAATAATCATCTACTCTCCCAAATACTGAGCTACATAACTACTTTCCGAAACCTAAGTACCCAATTGTTGGGTCCTTTGGACCCTTAGGGTTATATGTAATAGAAATCGGATGCTGAGTTGCTGTTTGGGGCCGCAGGAGTGGGGCAACACCGGATATTGGTGGATGGCTGTGGGGTGCGTTATGGGTTATGGCCTGAATGCAGCATTCAGGAGTCGAGGGGTTGTATGATCTATAATGCAGTAATTATAAAGGGGCTACCAGAAATACGTCTCGTTACTATTGGTAATTGTTCCGACCCGTAGAGTATCCCGTAGAGTATCCAGGAAACATGTTTGGGCAGCCAGCGCAGAGGTCTTTGGAAACGTCATGCAATTCTTGCTTCGTCTTCCTCAGCGCAGGAGCACCGATTCAGGCTTACCTTGGCTTCTTCAGGGTTTAAGGGCACGGGGGAAGAAGTTCTAAGTAAACTTTATAAACCCTAAACCACCAAACGCTCCTTACTCTTGCCTGAACCAACCCTAAACCCTAAACAACAAGACTCTAAACCCTAAGGGTTTAGGGGTTTTAGTCAACTTTTCGCCTTTGAGTGTTTCTGAAAGTGACGAAGACGCCCTCTTGGACTGTGTGCTTGTAAAAACATCCCTCAGATTCCCAAGAGCCGAAAGTACTGTTGATGATATAAATCCTGCATTACCCATAATAGGGGATATGCCATAATTCCCATAGTTTAGGGTCCTTAAGGTCATGCAGGATTTATATCATCAACCGTAGGGCACTAATCCATGGACTGTGGACCCCAACCTTGGTACTGTTTGTCTCCTTCGAGTCTTCGGGCCTTCATGCTTAGTCACGTGCCGCGAATGAAGTAGTAGTAGTCGTCGTCGTAGTATAGCAGTAGCAGTAGCAGTAGTAGTAGCAGTAGTAGTAGAAGTAGTAGTAGTGGTAGTAGTAGTAGTAGTAGTAGTATGATGCAAAGGTCCATGGAGCCCAGCTACAGCATCTGCTTCGCGGATTCGAAGAGATCTTGGCACTCCCTCAACTCTCCCAGCCGTCCCAGAATTTCGCCGTCAACACCTTGGCCCGATGGCACGAAGTGGGGGCCGGTTTCTTACCCTTGGTTAGGGAATGGAAGAATGGTGGTAATAGTAGATATACTTGTACCCCATTCCTCCATTCCCTACTAACCAAAGGCAAGGCTTGTGGGGGAAGAGTCGCATTTACAGGTTGTGTGTGTAGGGTGTTTGCGGCTTAAAATTCTGGGATTAGCGTGGGGTCCTTCGATATTCGACGCCTGCGGGTTCAGGACTGCGGGGACCCTAAACCCTAAACCCTAGACCCTAAACCCTAATTGAGTCGCAGAATTGGTTTGAAAAAACCATGCCTGGGCCGCTAGGGCCTATGTCGTTTTTGAGTCTGAGGCTGTAACTTCAGGGCACCCATGGAATATATGGGTGGTTGTCAAAATTAGGGTCCCTTTTTGGGTCCATATTATAATACGGCTATTTAGGGTACCCGAGAAGGGACGCTAATATTGACAACCACCCATATACAGTATATACAGACACACGTACAGACGTACATAATTACATACATAAATACATACATGCATACATACACACACACACATGCATTTAAACAATATTATGTTGATCCGGATTAACCAAAACCAAGGACCTGGAATCCGAGCTCCATAACTCGGGACAGACCCCACCTCGGGATTCGGGCTTGAGGCGTCCATGGCCTAATTTGGATCTGCATGGGTTTAGGGTTTAGGGCCTTAGGGGTGGCTTGTGCGCCGACTGGTCAAGGACGACATGGTAGTTCTACTCAGACTCACCCTATTACGGCTTTTAGAGTTTAGGGTTTAGGACTTGGGGTTTAGGGTTTGGGGTTGAGGGGTAAACCCGACACCGATTCCATTTTCGAGCCTAACAAATATAGCTATCATATACCCATTATATAGCCCATTATAGGGTAGGGGTCCCCATTAAGGGTCCCTCCTTTTCCCCTAAACCCCCTAGACCCCCAAATCCCTAAACCCTATACCCTTATAGAACCCCTATAGATCCCTTTAAAGGGCACCCATTAAGGGTCCCTTCTTTTCCCCTTTGAAGCATGAAATTTTTCACGCACCCCGGAGCCGGAAGTTGAAACGGAAATAACCCAGCGAAACCCTGAGCGGATTAAAGGCGCCTCCAGTCCGAGGCTTTTGGCTTAGGGATAAGGGATTAGGGTTTAGGGATAACAGATTAGGGTTGAGGGTTTAGGGTGTAGGGTTTAAGGGCTTAGGGATTAGGGTTGAGGGGCTTGATGTAGGAACCGGATTTAGAAACCTTGGGCCTAGGGGTTCCTTTAAGGGGGTCTTTAGGGTTACTATAAGGGATCTATACGGGTACTGTAATAATGTAGGAACCGGATTCAGGATCCTTGCGCCTTTATTAGGGTTCCTTCTATGAAGCCTACTGTTTTGGGGTTGTAGGCCCAGGGTTTCTTCATCAGGTTCCTTTACTAATCTCGAAGACCCAGGCACGAAACCCAGAAGCCTTCCATAAACCGTCACGGATCCCTCCACCCCTCCCCTCGCCCCCCATGAAACAGAAAGGTGCCAACCTGCGCTTCTGTCGCCGGCCATGTCCGCAGCGACGCTGGAGAGCAATCAATCAGGAGAAACCTAAACCCTAAACCCTAAACCCTAAACCCTAGAGGGATTGAGGGTTTCTAGGCTTGAGCTTGAAGCGTTTGGGGTTCCAGGGTGTCGGGCTCTGGGATTCTAGGTTCCTGAGTTGCCCTTTTCTAATAAGAGTACCCTTTTTCCTACTATGCGGTTTTAATAAGGGGCCACTACAACAAGAAAGGGCAAAAGGTACTACTCAGGAGCCCAGGACTAGCTAGGTGATGTTAGGTGCTTCGGTTTTGAGATTCGATGATACACCTGCCGGCGGCAAAAGTTGCAAGTAGACGAAGTCAGGTTGACCAGCAGATTGCTACAACGTCTGCCTCGAATCCTTAAGCCGAATTAACAGAACACTGCCGCATTGTCCAAAGGGGCCGAGTGTCGGTTTTGGGTTTAGGATTTAGGGCTTGGGGTTTCAGAACCTACAAAACAACACTTAGTAAGTAGAGAAGGGCTTCTGGGGTGCATGGATGGTACTGGTAGTATAAATGCAGGGGGACTAGCATCGGATATCACGATCAACCGCCCAGGCCCCAAAAGACTTATGAGGTATCGAGTCTGGTCCAGGGGATTAGGACGTTAGGGCACACGGCACTCTGGACTCCGGTGCGGTTTCGGGGTTTAGGGGCTTAGGGGTTTAAGGTTTAGGGTTTAGGGGTTTAGGGTTTAGGGGCTTAATTAGGGTTGGGTTTAGCGTTTAGGGTTCCGTAACTGGCAGCTCGCCAGCTTTCAGGGTCAAGTTGCTTGTGACGGTGCGGGGTTGAGAGTTTACAATTGCACCCAATCAAGCAAATAGGCAGAAGCAACTGTAGAGTCCGGAGACTATGCCTCAAAACGGACTTGCAATGAGTGGTCGAACTTCCAAACACTTCCTAACTCAATCCCCGCACCCCACGCCAAAAACTCAACAAGAGCCTGTGGGGAACACACAGAAGCAGCAATTGACACCCCGGAAGGCCTGAAACGACCTCCACACCTTTGAGCCCCAAGCCCTCTCAACTTCTTCCCTGGGTCCCGGAACCTTCAAAAGAAAAAGACACGCAACATTCGGAAGCATTGAACCACGGAAAAAAACATAGCCGAACACCTAGTATGATGCTGGGCTTAGAATTAGGATTTGAAGCTTAACCCTTGAACCTAAACCCCTAAACCCTGAACCCTCCCTAAAACCTATACCTTAGACCCCCAAACCCTAAACCGCCCCGAACTAAACCCTAAACCCTAAACCGCTCCTAAACCCTGAACCCTCTGCTTTTTCCCCTGACGATTCCGCAGGAGTTGCTTCGGGCATCCGTTAGGTTGCCATGTGGGAATTTCCGAAAATAGGGGGCCCCATTATAGTACCCTACATAGTAGGATCCTTATTATAAGGACCCCAAAACAAGGTATCCGAATTTCCGGAAACTCTAAACCCCTATAGAGCCCTTTAAAGGAACCCTTATAGAGCCCTTTAAAGGAACCCTTATAGAGCCCTTTAAAGGAACCCTTATAGTAAGGTACCCCTAATTTTCGGAAACTCCCAGGTCGACGTCGTGGTAGCAACCGGTCTTCGGTCGCGAAAAAACGGATCCTAGTCCTACAAGCTCTTTAGGGTTTAAAAGGGTTTAGGGTTTAGGGGTTCCGAACCCAAAATAACCTACCGTTTTAACTATAATTACATTATAACTACTTATAACCCCGATTAAGGTACCTATAACCTTACCTAGTAAGCCCATGGTTATGACTACTCTTGCAAAAAACTCCATGACAACACTTTTTCTGAAGTAGACCTGCGAAGGTCCGTCACGAAAAGACTCGATGCCGCGGTTTGCACTATCTGCCGCTATCATTACTACAACTAGTATTACTCGATTTTACTTATGATTACAGATATTGCGACTATGATTAGTGAGTAGCAGTATTACTAGGTCATGGTTGGGGTAGGAGTAAACATGTACATGTTTATTCCTTATTGGGTTCAAGTACCAAAAAAACTGTAAAATGATACCCAACTATGACAAAAGTTGACATTCTGTATCAGCTGATGGCTTTTGCCTCTCCGGTCTTCGGATGAACAGCTCTACATGGGGACATGGCCGTGATATCTTCGCCTTTGTCCTGGAGGTTCATGGGTAGGTATAACTAGGGTTCCCTTAAAGGGGATCTATAGGGCTATAGGGTTTAGGGATTAGGGTTTAGGCTAGTTATAAGTAGGGTAACTATACATATAATCAATATTAGGGGCCTTGTAACCCACTTATGACTACCGCTGAACCTCTAGGTAGGGTCAGCAGAAAGCATTTGGATGACCTTTCCCTACAAAGGAACCTACATGTCATGACGTGATGTGACATTACCTTGCCGTGCAGCACATCCCATTCTAATTCAAACGCAAACAGTTTATACATGTCGGCATACACCTTACCTACATACCTGCCAGCCTGCCTGACTAGATACCCACCCACATACCTACCTGCCTACATACGCACATACATACCAGGCATACTGATACCTATTTTATACATGCATACATACATACATACATCCACGCATACATACAGACACATACACATACAGGATAACATACATACCTGCATCCCTACATACCTAGATGCCGACGTACATACGCAGGTATGTACGTACAGACGTACGTCCACACATTCACACATGAACACATGCATACATCCATACATGCACACATACATACACACATACATGCATACACATGCATCTATACATGCACACACACACATACATACGTCACATACCTACCTACATACATACTTGCATGCATACATACATGCTTGGATACATACTCACATACACACATGCATACACATGCTTACATACATACATACATGCATACATGCATACATACATACATACATAGATACATACAATACAATACAATACAATACAATACATACATACATACATACATACATGCATACATACATACATACATACATACATATGTATTGCATGCATACATACATATGTAATGCATACATACATACATGCATGCATGTATGCATGCATACACACACATACATCCATGCATGCCTATGTACGTACGTACATGCGTACGCGTGCGGCCTGTCTACCTACCTACCTACCTACATACATACATACGTATATCGATTTGTTTTCAATTCCAATTCTTGCCTGTACTTGTACTTGTTATCCTCCATTTCGCATATGTATATATATATATATACACATCTAAACTTGTCTGTGTGCGTACCTTTACATAGTTACACAAAGTACATTGTAAAATACATGTATGACATATACTTAGAGGACCATGGGACTTAATAAGTAGGGTTATAAGTGAGGTAGCTATAGTTATATCTACTTATAACCAACAGTTAAGACACTTATAACCCTACTTACTAAGTCCCATGATCCTCCAAGTTCTGGCGATGGCGAGGAGGTCACGGCCATGTCGCCCCCTCACCCGCCCCGCAGTCCTGGCGGCCGGGGATTAAGGCTTAGGGTTTTTTGGGGGTTTAGGATTAGATGAAAGGCTTAGGGTGCTTGCAAAAGGTATTTGGGCCGTGAGCCCAACATAAACCTCAAGATTCGACACAAAAGCTGATATCCCAAAGGGTCCGAGGTACTGTTATGGGAGATACTTCCGCAAAGCATAGTAGTAATTCCTTTTATAGCAACCCTACATTCTACTATGTAGGTACTTTGGACCCTTTGGGAATTAAACCATCTGGGTTAGCAAACGGATACGCGGATCTCGATGAAGTGCTCTAGAAGGGGAGGCTGTAAATGGGCTTGGTGCTTTGCAACAGACGCAACTACACCCCAATGGCGCCTTTTTGTGCAACATCGGGGGAAGCCATTGCTAGGATAATTTGGGGGCTCGATGATATATTCTTTGCGTCTTACAATGTCTACCCATATCGATAAACTACTGACAATATGTTGTGGGCCTTGAAGCACACCCCTAAAAGCCAACACTTAATGCATTAGCTCACACGGAAGCCTACACAACCCTGTGCAGCAAAGTACCCCTAAAACCCCTAACCCAAACCCTAAACCCTAAACCCCTAAACCCTAAAACCCTAAAACCCTAAACCCTAAACCCTAAACCCCTAAACCCTAAACCCCTGACCCCTAAACCCTGAACCCCTAAAGCCCGAACTCCTCAACGCTAGTCTGAAGTTCTGATACGCCACTCGAAGCATACCTGCAGTCTCCATTGTATTTAGTTGCTTTGTCGGGCTACTTATTCAGGATGCTTAGTATAAGATTGGTTAAACCAGAAAAAGGAACTACAATGGAGACTATAGGTAGGTTCGGTTGGGTCGGCCAGGGTTTCGGGCAATTGCTTCTTTCTTTGAAGCTGAACTGCACCCCTTTCCGGAGACCCGTCTCTCTTCTGGCTTCAGTGCTAACGGTTTCAGCGCTTAAGGCTTACTGTATAGTCTTTAGAGTTTAAAGTTCGGGGTGCAGATTACTACCGAAACCATAAAACCCTAAACGGCCCTAAACCCTCAACCCAGCGTTGCTACCAGTACAACTATGATCGCACTTGCTAGGATGGCACGTGCCTTCCCCAAGAGCTCCCAAAAGCGAAGGTCCGTCGCCTTCCGATCTTACCTGCAGGCACTTGTCGATTACCTATAGTCTCCATCACAGTTTTATTTTGGCTTAACCAACTCTGCATTTAGCATCCTACAAGGTAACCCCGGACAAGAACAATGGAGACTATAGGTATGGCCGAGGGCTTAGGGTTTAGGGATTCTGGCTTCGGTGCTTGCATTCTGTTCCCGGACGCTTACAGGGAAGCGCTCGATAAGGAAACTTCAGTGGTTAGTATACTAAGGCTACACAGGTTTTGCACATTCGGGTCAACAGCAGGGTTCCGCACTTTCCAACATTCTTGCATGTTGAGGCTTTCTTATGCACCCATGTTAACTCTGGCACTTTCATGAATTTACCCTCAAGAAATGCTCAAGTTCAAGCCTTTAGCCGCTTTCGCCGCCAACCATTCAACACAGAGGCTGCCCCGTCATTACTTCTTGATTCTTGCGATGTTCTTGAACATGACCACTGATGTGATGTCTATAGACCCTTTTTGCAACAGGCTTGTCTATACACCCTAATTCCTAAACCGAATCTGCTGGCGGCTCTCGCTGATAACCGAGGCTGGTCCCTATCTCGGGAGCCGCTGCTGAGATGGGTGGGTTCGGTATTCAGGGTTTAGGGCTCAGGGCTTTACATAGAGTTTGGGGTCTAGGGTCCAGGCGTGCATGGGCTCGTGGCATTGGGTGCTTCGCGACTTTGTGGCTTGAGTGGAACCCTTGAGGTCTCTGTGTCCTCGAGTTTTGCCTGAACCCCAAAACCTTGCTTCAAGGGCTCCCTCGTGTGTTTACATACATCCGGATCATACACTGTTTGTCGTTTCATTGACGGGTGGGAAGGGTGGCGGGGATTAAGGCATGCTTTTGTGTTCGGGGGCAAAGAATGGGTTCTTAAAGCAAGCCCCATGCAGAATCCGAAGCCCAGGGACTAGGCTTAAGAGGTTTCAGAACGGGGTATGTGTCCGGGGTTCAACAAATTGGGCCTCACGCCCTCTTTACTTTAAATCCCCGGGGCTCAAGGCCGTCCTAAGTTCCTCATCCCTCAATAAGCTCGGCTTAGGGCTTCAGTGGGCTAGCCCCGAGTCCTAACCGCCCCTAGATCACCCCACCACATCTAAACCCCTAAACCCTTCAATTCTAGATCCTAAACCCCTAAACCCTAAAAACGAACAGGTCTTAGAACAGTTGCCTCGCCTCCCAGCCGAGTGTTTGCGCGAGGGAGAAGCCCAAGGCTTGGGCCTGGAACTGTGCTGTTGAAAGATCTGGGAGTTTCCGAAATTAGGGGTACCTTATCTTGGGGTCCTTATATACTTAGGAGCACCTAAGCGTTCCTTTACAGGGCTACTACAAGGGTACTATTATACGGGTTGCTTGAAAGGGCTCTATGAGGGATTGGAGTTTCCGAAATTAGGGTATTCTTACAATAAGGATCCTACTATTTAGGGTACTATATTAGGGTCCCCTATTTTTGGAAACTCCCATCTCCTTACAGCCCAGAGTCTCCATATATACTCCCATTATGGGTTTAGGGTCCCGCAACTGTAATAGGGATGGTCTTTTGGGGGACCTAATTCGGTAGTGTATTTGGACCCTCTGGGTAGGATCCTTCATGGAGAGCAGTTCAAGAAGGGAGGGTACTAGGGATTCATGAGGAACCTCAGTGAGCCTAAGGAAGTACTAGGGAGAATTGGGGGAGGGATTCCAGAATCTCCGGAGCTTCAGGACGTTAAGGCTTTCAGGGCTTAGGATTGAGTCGGGCTGCGTAGGGATCACTATGAGGACTTGGTCTAATTTCGCCTGCTGACATGCAGGCATAGTGCCATATTAAAGGTTACTCTTGTCGTTGGGTTGCAGCTTCCATCAAATCGTGATGCTGTTCGGCTGTCTTTAGTACTCAAGTGTTGATTCTCTTGTTGCGTCATCAAAAACCAAACAGACGTCAAGCAAGCCGCTAGCCATGATGGCATGGGTACCATGCTTGTCATGACTTCTGCTGCCATGCATTTTGCGCATAAGAGCGCAACGCTGATGACTACAAGAAATGGACACGACGACAAACACCCACACATACCTGCCATACCTGCTTGCCTACCTACCTGCCTACCTACATACCATCCCCAGCATAATCATGACCGCCGTAATCCCCGTGACGAGCGTCTCAATGAACATGCAACTCAGCACCATCAAATAAGTTTCTTCTAGATGGTCATTTTCTTACGTGCCACGGGCACTGAAAAGCCAACCCGGCTGGCTGACGGCCCTGGACAACATGGGAGTTTCCGAAACTAGGGGACCCTAATATAGTACCCTAGTTAGTACGATCCTCATTGTGAGGACCCCAAAATACTTCTCCCTAATTTTCGGAAAGCCCCACACCTCTGCCTTCATCTCCCCAGAACCCATCCCTGCCTTGCTGTACAGCTCTTCCGGTGTACCAACCTGGAGCCTCGGCAACCAAGCTGTAAAAACTCTGCAGGGCGTAGGGTTTAAGGCCTCAGGGTGGTTTAAGTGTAAGAGGTTTTAAAGTTGAGGGGTTTAGGGGTTTATTGTTTAGGGTTTAGGGGGTTAGGGAATTTTAGGGTTTGGGGTGCATTCTTTGGGGACGTTTTCCGCTTGCTTTGCCGTGGAGACTCTCTTGGGTGGCCGCAGTGCAGTGGGGTTTACTGTCAGGTGCCTAGTAGGGAATGGGGTTCCTATAAGGGTTACTATAAGGGTTACTATAAGGGTTTAGGGTTCTTAGTAGCCTGTCTGGTGCTTAGTTGGGAATGGGGGAATGGATCCCCATCCCTCTGACAGTCTTCATAATCCATTCCCCCCATTCCCTACTAAGAACCAGACAGTTTACAGCTTGGCAGAGGTAGGTCCTAGAGACTCGGGGGTTCGATGGCGTTTGGGGGGGATTTCTGTGCATCCGACAGCTAAACCCTTTGATAAGACTAACAACAAGAGGATGACAAAAAGTAATGAGGACAAGACTAATTAACAATAATGGCAAGAGCCATAGGTAGTAAGAAGACGACAAAGAAGAAGGGGATTATGACCTTACCATGTTACGCGCTTTAAAGCGAAGGTAGCTTCTGCTTGAGTCAGCGAGCAGTCTTCAACCTTAAACTGCTGATACAGGAAAGCCTCCACACACCGCCTCAACCCGATTTCTCTTTGTACAGTTTTCAGACTGCAACTTTAGAAATTGTGGGCTTGGGGTGTGGGCTTAGGGCTTGAGGTTCTCGGTCCAAGAACATAAAGGCCGCAAAAACGGCTCAACAAGATGGAGCCATTCCAAAACCTGGTGGCATCATGGGCGGCGTGCCGCGAGCACTGAAATGAAGAAGCAGCTAAACCCCGCCTTTATCACCCCCCAAAGGCTCCAAAGCACCTTTATAGTAGAATGTAGGGTTTCTATAACAGGAATTACCAATATTGTTTGGGGAAGTATTCCCCATAACAGTACCTAGGACCCTTTGGGCCCTAGGCCGCAAGCTTACAGTATGGCGCGCAGAGGACCCCGGCCCGATCCATGCCCCTGAACCCGAAGCGCTGAGCCCCTACACGCGTATGGCTTAGAAGGGGCCCCCACCCTGTAATAGTGGTATAATAGGAATTTATAATACAAGTAGAGCCCTAATATGATCCTTATAGTCACTATTACGGGGTGGGGGCAGCTTCTAACGTATGGGTAGTTGTCAAAACTAGGGTCCCTATTCTAATACGGCACCTAATATTTAGGGTACCCAAACAAGGACCATAATTTTGACAACCATGCACCGTATAAAGTTGAGCTGACCAGCGGCAAATTTCGACCTTCACCCAAACAGAGTCACATTAAGTCACTACCAGGAAGCAGCGATTTTTCCTTCTCTGAGCAGAAGTTATCTCTGCTGGAATCGGAAGCCGATCCCTTTGTTCCGAGATGATGCAGGGTTTGCACTGGATGGAACTACTAGACATCCAGCTAGGAAATATGAGCACAAAGCCTTAACCCTATAAGCCTAAATCTGAAATGCCGAAGTAAGATGAGACCCTAAACCCTAAACCCTAAATCGATGCTCGGAGTTAAACCCATCTTGCAATCCTTCGGAGCATGGAAACCCTGCATAGCTGCCGTGAAAGACAGTCCCGGCGATCACAACGATGGCCCAAGAGCTCAGGGGTCACGGGCTTCTAGCTATAGTCTCCATTGTAGTTCCTTTTCTGGGCTACCTTTTTAAGTTGGTTACACTAGAAGAAGTAACTGCAATGGAGACTATCGGTAGGTTAAGTTCAGAGCGAGCACTCAACTAAGCCACTTAACACTACACCCACCTGTAGATGTCGGAGCAGTCTGTACTAGTTTTAACCTTTCGAATCCCTATACACCTCGACTACAGTATCCTTCACAGCCCTAGTCTGGTTTTTACAACAGCGATTCGCAGCAAATGCTGGTGCCGGGACTGCCCCTCCTTGGCTTTTAGCCAAGACTCCACTTTTCAAAAGCCTCCGTGAAACCTCTTTTGGCCTCTGTCTCGATCGCGATGTTGAGCTACATTGCGCATGTTCTTATTTAACGTTTAATAAGGCTGAAGATGTAGGCATGAAGGATTTCGCTCGGAAATCCTCGAAAAACTCCTTAAACTTGCCCTGAAGGCTAAATTACGGATGAGGAACTCAAAAAAAAAGCTGACAAGTCGCCTGAGCCATAAACCCTACACTAGGATGTTTTTTGAGGTTGCGGGTTTAGGGTTTGGGGTTCCTGAACGGGTATTCATGGGGTTTAGGACTCATAAGGTCTACGGTTTAGGGCCCAGAGCTCTGGGCACAGGGTCTCGCAAAGGAATGCAGTTTCATCCTTACCGTCCTTCGTGTACAAGAGCGACGTGGGGGGTTTCCGAAGATGGGGCGGTACCTCAATTAGGGGTCCTTACAATGAGGATCCTACTATTTAGGTGTACTACATTAGGGTCCCCGATTGTCGGAAACTCCCATGTAGGAAGGGACAACAGTGAAGGCTCAGAAAACTTGTCCCCTAAACCTGAAACTCTAACATATTTGACCACAACAACACCAGATGGTGTCCTTCGCTGCGTTACCTTCATCAGCCGATGTTGCTCGGATTCTGTCTGAGAACAGAACACCCGCAACGCCACTGTTACACAAGCTCTTGTTTCTAGCCGGTTACTACTGGAAGGATCGCGGGCTGGCTTTGTTGAGCCAGGGTTTGGAAGCACCTTTCTAGGAGTTGTAAACTATAGGAGCCCTACTTGTCATACCCCAGCAACCTACTATTTAGGTACCTGGAGCCCTAAACCCTAAACCCGGAGCCCTGGGGAAAAGAACCCCTGCTCCAGAACTACTGAGGCTCCAATGAGGTCGACTGCTCGCCGCCTTTGGCGGAAAGGGCGTCATTGAGAAGCAGTAACTCCTCCTGCGACAGGGTTTCGGCAGAAAAGCTGAACCTCGTCAAACCCAAAGGCCCTAGACCCAAAGCACTACGATAACCACTACGACGAAGGCTACTACCTCGACTACAACAACAACTACTACTACTGCTACTACTACTGCTACTACTACTGCTACTACTACTGCTACCACTACCACTGCCACTACCACTACTACCACTACTACCACTACTACCACTACTACCACTACTACCACTACTACTACTACTACTACTACTACTACTACTACTACTACCACTACTACTACTACTACTACTACCACTACTACTACTACTACTACTACTACTACTACCACTACTACTACTACTACTACTGCTGCTACTACTACTACTACTACTACTACGACTACTACTACTACTACTACGACTATTACTACTACTACTACTACTACTACTACTACTACTCCTCCTCCTCCTACTACTACTACTTTAAGCCCTAACCCTCTGAGCACTAGGAGGGAAGACCCGAGCAGTCGGTAGACGAAGCCTTTTGGTGTTCATTCAGCGTCTGGAGGTTTTAATGTAGGGGCTCTCCTTTAAAGGGATCTATAGGGGTTCCATTTAAAGGGATCTGTAGGGGCTCTCCTTTAAAGGGATCTATAGGGGTTCCTTTAAAGGGATCTGTAGGGGGTCCTTTAAAGGGATCTATAGGGGTTCCTTTAAAGGGATCTGTAGGGGGTCCTTTAAAGGGATCTATAGGGGCTCCTTTCAAGGGATCTATAGGGGTTCCTTTAAAGGGATCTGTAGGGGGTCCTTTAAAGGGATCTATAGGGGTTCCTTTAAAGGGATCTGTAGGGGGTCCTTTAAAGGGATCTATAGGGGCTCCTTTCAAGGGATCTATAGGGGTTCCTTTAAAGGGATCTGTAGGGGGTCCTTTAAAGGGATCTATAGGGGTTCCTTTAAAGGGATCGTAGGGGGTCCTTTAAAGGGCCTTAGTGGGAGCTTTAAGGGTTACTATACGGGATCTATGAGGGTCCTATAATACGGTAGGAACCTGAATAAGAAACCCTGGGCCTTGTACCCCAAAATAGTAGGATTCATGTAAGGAACCCTCATAAAGGCCCAAGGTTTCTTAGTCAGGTTCCTACATTAGTCAAAGCCATCGCAAGCTTTTCGGTCAAAAAAACCTACATGCACACCATAGACTCCAAATCACTATGGCCGCAATGCCAAACCCCAAAACACGCACCCCTGCACCCTAACATAAGGGCCTTAATAATTACCTATGTTGTTTGGTGGGGGTCCATATTATAACTGTAGTATAGTGGGCCCCAAAGCCTTATTCTAAATATTCAGGCCCCTGTACCTAAACCCCGAGGCACACTTCGGGTCTAAGATCCAAGGCTGAAAGTCTCTATTCCGAGTGGAACCCGAAGCCGTGGAGACTCCAAGCCTCGAACCAGAAATCTTTGAAGAATCAAAGAGGAAAAGGAGGGACCCTTAATGGGGACCCCTACCCTATAATGGGCTATATAATGGGTATATAGTGGCTATAGTATGGGTATATTCCTAGGGGTCCTTATTAGGGGTCCCTCCTTTTACCCTTCGAAAGAACAACCTTCAAGCTCAAGCCTAATGTGGGTAGTTGTCAAAATTATGGCCCCGTTTTGGGTACCCTAAATACTAGGCGCCGTATTATAATAGGGACCCAAAAAGGACCCATAATTTTGACAACCACCCATGTAACAGACTAGGTTCCTGAGTAGCCCCTTGATAATATCATTAGGGTATCCTGTTTCCTACTCTTGGGTTGTACTCAAGGGACCGAAAAATAGCAAGGGCAAAAGGGCACTACTCAGGAACCTGGGGGAGCCTTGATAAGTCGCCCAGGGTCTGGTGCTATATGTATAGGATGTTTGCCATACGGAGCCCCTAAGGGATACAGTAATAATCATGTTGATTATGCATGCTTCTGTATTCAAGCATGGCTTGAAATGTTGGTTTTATTGTTCAGGCCCCTAGTTATATTGGAAGCTTTATGTTTCAGAGCTTCTCTTTCCGGCCGCTGGCTCTTTGCAGCTAGCCCGAAACCCTATAAACCTAAACCGCTGCTAGCTGGACCCAGGCTTCCGAAGAACTTGGCGTAGGAGTTTGGGCTATGCGAGAGCAGAAACAGATCGAACTCAGCTTCCCAAAGATTCCAATATCCCTAAATTAAGGAATATACCCCAAATCATGGTAGGATCGCTAATTACTAACATGATTTAGGGTATATACTTTAATTAAGGGACATTGGAGGCTCTGGGTATTAGAATTCCCCGAATACCCACTCTTACAGGTCCCTTAAGAGATCCCTTCAAGGAACCCTATTAATCCCTTCTTAGTTGCTGAGTTCATGAGCCCCAAAAAGTGTACACTTTCAGTTTTATAGTGGGTAATACTATCCCAAAAATTGCAAAGTGTATCCACTCAGCTACTAAGCCCTCCCCCCCCTACAAAACTCTACAACCCCTAAACCCTAAACCCCCAAAATTAAGGGATACTGCAGCCTCCGGGTCCCCCCCCCGCCCAAATGAAGCGCCTTAACGAAGGAAAGCTCTTCTTGGAGGTATTCCTGAAACTTGCCTGCGCGAGCTCGGACTGATGTAGGGGCCTTAATCTGATAATAATTAGAATAGGGTTTGGGGCTCCTTTATAGTATAGATATAACAGCGAACCCGAAGGAACAATGTTGGTAGTTATTTAGTCTTCTGTGTTAAAGCCCTGGTGTTTGGGAGTCGCTGGGGCTGTGCAAGCTCTCAGAGAGGCTTCGTTTCAAACGGTTCTTGTACAGGGTTGCCAGCCCTGAAAGGGTTTCATAGGGTTGGGTAGGTGTTCTGCAACGATGTTATGATTTCTTCGTTGCGGACTTGCTTGTAAAGGAAGCCTGAACTCGAAACGCTAGACGGAGCCTGGTTTATGGGTTTTGGCCCGTGCAGGGAAATGGATTCAGGGCGCCACGTCTCCGGAAGCTCAAGTAAACACAGCTGCTAAAGAACAAGGATCCGAAAATCTCCGCGAAACATGAAGTTAAGGAATTCGGTCTCAGGATGCAGAGAGTAGCTAGAAGCCTGTATGGAACGCCTGCCCCCATATGGTACCGGGCTATAGTAGAGCTGCACTTCATGGCCGTATATATCTCTAACTCTTGATAAAGATATTATTCAACTGTTACTGGGTGGGGGCAATACTCAGTTTATTCCTTCCTTTTCCTTGGCTTCTGTGCTTTAAGGGGTGTTTAGAGCTTAAGGTTCTCTGGCCATTGCAAAGACAAAGACAGCTCCTGACGATTGCACTCTATATCCCGCACTCTCAACTTCAAAGCCCACGGCCGTGTTCTATAAACTCCACCAGTCTCAATCGTAAACTAAACAACCCCAACAAGGACCCCCCCCCCCCCCGCCCGAGATCCTGAATGCTGCAAGTTCCCCATCCATCAGCCAGGTCAGGCACAAAGCAAGATCAGCAAGAAATACTGGTTAAACTGAACAGGGCTTGGGAGGTACACTATACGCAAAACAATATCAGTACTAGATCGGGACACTGCCACCGATGTTTCCATGGCCTTGATTGTTGATCATCCATTTCTGATCTTGGAGGATCTTACCCACATCCATCGACCGGGCGGCACCCCGGAATTTTAAGCATCCTGGGACGGTTTTTGCGGGCTTCGGGCAGGGTTTAGGTTCTGGGGTTTGGAGGGGCTTCGGGCTCAGAGGGTTCAGGCCTGAAACTTGCCAACAGCCGCACCAAAACCTTCATTCTACCCTATGGCTCCTAAGAGGGTCTTGGGCTTTCTGGGGGAGGGTTTCGGCTTTGGGGGCTAGGGTCCGGGATCTCACTACGAGGGTCCAGGAGCCTTAAGGTATGGACTCTAGAATCTAGCACCTACATCTTGAGTCAAACCGCGCAACCTCGCCTCTAAAGTATTAGGCTGAAATCTGAAACTGCATGCAGCCAGTCATCCTAAGAAGAATTCTTCGATCTCGACGGCACCACCTGGTCGTCAGGAAGAGTGGAGGTAATATAACTAATTAGAATAGAGTTTTGGGGCCCGCTGTGGAATCCCCAAAATAGTATAGGCAATTATCAAGGCTCCTATACAAAGCTTTCGGAGATGTCCCGCTTGTGGACCAACAATCACCTAGAGAAAAAAGTTTTGATGGGCTTGGGATCCAGGCAGGGAATCCTGAGTGCACACCGAAATCACCTGAAACCTTCCACGGTTTAGGGTTTAGGGTTTAGGGTTTGTGGGCTCTGAAAAAAATTTATGAATAGGTACCTCTATAGGAACCATAAGGGAAATTAAAAAGATTCCCAAAGTGCCACCTAGTTCCATGACTCCAACATCCTTGAGCCTCCTACACCTGTGGAGCTCAGGACCAAGGCATCGAAGGGGAAAAGGAGGGACCCTTAGTGGAGACCCCTGCCCTATAATGAGCTATAGAATGGCTATATAATAGCTACATTAAGGGTATATACCTATAATGGATATATAACAGCATTATATTAAGGGTATATACCTATAATGGATATATAACAGCATTATATTAAGGGTATATACCTATAATGAATATATAACAGCATTATATTAAGGGTATATACCTAGGGGTCCTTATTAAAGGTCACCTTTTACCCTTGGAAGGCACACAAGGCCAGACAGCGACCAAGGCTTCGGCTCAGGCCCGAGAGCTCTGCAACCCGTAAGCCTTAACCCCACCTTAAGCCGGAATACCCTACCTTTTTAGGGTTCCTTATTATGATTTCCTTATATAAGTCCTTAAAAAGGTAGGTTGTTCCGGCTTACGGTGCAACTTGAACCTGGAAAGCCGTAACCCCGAAACACCTAAACACTATGCTAAAGCCCAAGACAACGAAACGCCCTCCACCCAAAAGCCTCGACCCTTGCCTTAACCCTCCACCCTAAAGCCTTAACCCATGCCTTAACCCTAAGCCCTAAACCCTCAACCCTAAAGCCTTAACCCTGCTGGATCCTTCAGGTTCGTTCACTCAGCACCTCTCAACATCCCCATTTATTTACCACGAGGAAAATCCTTTATACAAACTTCTTCAGGTACTAGTTGCTAGCAATATGTGGAGTTCTCAAAATAGGGCCCACTTGAAAGCCCCCCCAAAAAATGGCACGACCCACCTTCTTTGTAAAAAAAAGGACCTTATTGACGGTGATCCTGATTTAGAAAAATACCCATATGGGTAGTTTTTCAAAAAGCTGTAAGGTGAAAGTGAAAAGTTTTCAAAAAGCTACATCTTCTCTTCATGGCTTTAAGGCTTTTGGGTCGCCAGCTCCTGGCCCAGAAACTCTGTAACCCGAGAGCCTCACCGGCTTCTGGATTCGAATCGGTCTAGGGTTAAGAGCATCCCGGGGTTTAGGTTACTTGGAGGGTCGGGGGACTTAGTAACTAGGGTTATAAGTAAGGTAACTATAGGTATATCTACTTATAACCCCAATTAAGGTACTTATTATTATGATTGTTATTCCTTAGAAGCTGCCCCCACCCTGTAATAGTGGTATAATAGGAATATAATAGGGCCCGAATATAATCCTTATAGTCACTATTACAGGGTGGGGGCCGCTTCTAAGGTTTAGGGCTCAGGGTTTAGGGTTTAGGGTTCATCATCTGATACAACTGAACTTGTAAGCACAAGCTGCACTATAGCCTCATCATGCACCTTGACGTTGCGCCAAGATGTTCACCCCTGGGACAACGCCTTCCCCATGAACCCTCAACCCTTCCGCCTCCATCCACATCGAGCAGCTTGAAAAATGACCACCTCGGAATGCGAACAAAACGAATTCATCAGAACCCATTCCCCCCATTCGACTCACGGAAGCAAGCCAGAGTTCGGAGTGGAAATTCTACTCTCCAAGGGTAAAAGGAGGGACCCTTAAAAAGGACCCGTAGGTATATAATTACCCTGAATATAGCGACTATATACCCATTATGTACCCATTATATAGCCCATTACGGGGCAGGGGTCCCCAGTAAGGGTCCCTCCTTTTCCCCTTTGATACTCAGCTTGAACGCATCATGTAACCCGTAGGAGCCTGCAAACCCCCACCACCGGCCGCCCAATCATTCCTCGTTTCTGATGCCATCGTAGTTGCTGAGTTCATAAGCCCCCAGCAGGTGTACACTTTCAGTTTTATAGTGGGTGATATTATCCCAGAAAGTGTAAAGTGTACCCACTCAGCGCCTAAGCCATAAGGGCCATAGCTAGGAAGTGCATCTCAGCTCTGGGTTCCTCCCGCTCTGCCTTTTGCTGTATCTGTTCAGAGGTAGAGGGTTTAGGGTTTCAGAACTCGGGATTTCGATTTCAAAGGTGTTGTGGGTTCCATTTAAGGTCTGCAGATCGTGAGCTTACCAGGGTTTGTGGGTTTAGGGTTCAGGGTTCAGGGTTTCGGGTTTTAGGGTTCAGGGTTTAGGGTTCAGGGTTTTAGGGTTCAGGGTTTAGGGTTCAGGGTTTAGGGTTTCGGGTTCAGGGTCTAGGGTTTGTTGGGGTTCTGTGGTCTTGAAGGAATTGACAGCTCGAGACGTGTTCCGGTTCCGGGATCTCTTCCTCTTACCTTTGGTTAGTCGGGAATGGAAGAATGGTACGGTTGATGATATAAATCCTGCATGACCCATAATAGGGAATATACATAGATCCCATAGTTTAGGGTCCTTAAGGTAATGCAGGATTTATATCATCAACAGTAGTAATAGCAGTTATAATTGACTCCATTCCTCCATTCCCTACTAACCCAAGGTAAGTCCTTCGAAGGTTCAGGGGTGCATCCCACCCCTTCGGGCTTTCCCACTGACCCATCCCCTGCTCCCAGTTCCTCCTGGCCCCTCGGGTTTAGGATTTAAGGTTCAAGACCCTAAACCCTAAACTCATGGCTTTCAGGTTTAGGGCTTAGGTTTTAGGGCTCAGTTTCGGGAGATCCGGGGGTTTTGCATGCCTGAACGGCGCGAATGACATAAAACAACATCATGCAAGGCGATTGCAACGCTGAGACAAGCTGCCAAGCACTGCTTCTTCTTAGGGCTTTAGGATAAAGAGCTCTTGGCCGCGAACAACTTCACCCATCAGTTTGAGGCCTTGCAAAAACCTGAATCAAAGGAGCGACAGGACCCGGGTTTAAGCTGGGCTCTAAAGTTTGAAAGGCATCTCCAATCCGATCCTGTCTGCTGCCAAGCCACGCATCCCAGACATCCAAGCCCAATGCTTCGAAATACTGCCGCACCGCTGGAGTTTTAATCTTCTCTTCGAAGACACCAATGGTGAGCACGCCACTCTCTTCTGCACCACCGATCTCGCTGAAAAGCGCTTTGATCTTTGTCAAGTGCGCGGTCTTGTTATCTATCATGGACTGAACCACCATTGCATGGTCATTTTGCGCGCTCTCTATAGCGCTTTGACAGAACACCTGAGCTGTCCACGAAGTCAAGAAGGAAAATGTTGATGGGGGGCAGCCGCCAAGGGGTGCAGAAGAAGACTGCTGTCGCAAAGTCGAGACAATGCATGCATACACTGGCTCCACCAGATTGATCTGACTATGACTCGGGAAAGTCGGCAACAAAACACAGCTGCTCACAGAACCAATCGTCAGCATGCTTTCCACACGCTCCCCCTTGATTCAGGAACCGTAAACCCTGAACTCCAAACCCCTGTCTAACTAAGCCGCAGCAACATTCTGCCAATCATCGTGGGACCCTACAAAACTTATTGGCCAAGGCACACCGGTCACGACCTCGGTTTGTTTGGAGGATCATGGGACTTAGTAAGTAGGGTTATAAGGACCGTAATTGGGGTTATAAGTAGATATAACTATATAGTTACCTTACTTATAACCCTACCTACTAAGTCCCAGGATCCTCTAAGCAGGGTTCAGGGCTTACGATTGGGCAGACTTAAACATCAGGCTTCCATGGCGGCTTGCTGCAACATATGGGGGTTTTCGATAATTAGGGGTACCTTATTAGGGGTCCCTCGAATAAGGATCCTAATATTTAGGTTATTATATTCGAGTCCCCTATTTTCGGAAACTCTCATATCCCAGCAGAAGCTCAATAGCGACTGCTTCGGCTCACAGCGTGAATACACTTCGCAGATCTCCCATCGAACTCTGAAATTAACTTGCATCTGAGTCTCATTAAGGACGGCAAAATACGTAAAAGCTATATAGAACCTTGGCAAGCAGGATTCACAGGGCTTTGCGGCGGGGGCCTTCGGAGCTCAGGGTTAATGGTAAAATGTGCCTGTAGTCTCCATTGAAGTTCCTTTTTTGGGTTAATTAGCTTTTAAGATCGTTACTATAAATAGGTTAAATCAGAAAAACGAACTACAATGGAGACTATAGATAGGCTGCTTCAAGTCACCGGTCTGTTGGTGATGTTGGCTGAAATTGGGCGTTAAGCCGATTGTCAGTCTGGCACAAACCGAAGTGACCGACGAATTCGTTGTCACGCTTGAATCTGTGTAAATATAGTGTACGATCCTGCTGGGCATTCGCTTCTTGCAAAGATCGATCTCAAAGCAAAGGGCGAAATCATCGCTTTCTCTCACAGTATGGCAAGCCACTCTTTGCAACACCAGCTTTCGCGCAGCAAGTGCCCGAAACCCCGAACGCTTGCACGATCCATGACATGAATCTAGAGGTCAGGGAGGTGCTAGTTTCCGTCCACACTGTGCAAAGACATTGTAGAGTGCAAGAAAAGAAACCCTATACGCTGAACTGAACTCTGAACCCTAAACCCTGAAAAGATCAATGCACAAAGATCGATCGACCCGAAAACCCGCCCTTAATTAAACCCTGAACCTCAACCCCTAAAAAGACCAATGCAGAAAGATAGATAAACCCTACTAAAACCTAAACTGAACCCTGAACTCTAAACCGATCCGATGATGGTCGTGGCAGCAGGAAACAGGAGACAGGAGGCAGTGCTCGCAAAAGACGGCAGTAGACACATGAGCTGAATGGGTTACATGGGAGTACCAGCAGCTAAAATCGAAGACGGCCCTGAGGGTTCATGTGCCCAAAGAGTAAAAATTTGGCCCCAAAGTACCTGTATAGGGGCTACTTTAAGGCCGAAGCATATTTATGCAATATGAGTACATGGACCACCTGGGCGATATATGATCCCGGTTCTCGGTTCACCGACCCCCCCCACCCCCCCCCCCCCAATGGTATCCCCCCCCCCACGCTCCCCAAGCCGAATCTGTGTGTGACTGTGCAAGCTTTTTCCACACGAGGGCTCACACGCCAAGCAGACCCACTCAGGAAACCCAAACCACACCACACCACACGGGGGAGCGGGGTCACCAGCCTAAGCAGACCCACTCCCGAACCACACCACACCGCACCACACCACAGGGAGGGAGGGGGAAGCAACCCACAACCACACCACACCACAACAGACCCACGCAGGAAACCCAAACCACACCACACCACAGGGGGGAGTGGGGTAACCAGCCTAAGCAGACCCACTCCCGAACCACACCACACCACACCACAGGGAGGGGGAAGCAACCCACAACCACGCCACACCACAGCAGACCCACGCAGGAAACCAAACCCAAACCACACCACACCACAGGGGGGAGTGGGGTAACCAGCCTAAGCAGACCCACTCCCGAACCACACCACACCACACCACAGGCAGAGGCAAGCAACCCACAACCACACCACAACACAGGGGGGGAGGAGGAACCATTGGGGGGGGGGGGGGAGGGGGGGAGGGGGGGGAGGGGGGGGGGCCGGCCGAACCGGGATCATATATACACCTCAATGCAGCGGACTGCTCACTAGACTCGAACCATGACTGCTACACCCCGAAACCCAGAAGAGACTGGACGAAATCTAGAAAGCGCGCTTGAACAAAGGGTTTTGGGTTTGGGTAGTCTTCAAGGAACCGTGGTACCTGCTATAGAGCTGGTTGTGATACTGTGTCGGAGTTTCTCCACTTTCTGAAGCTGGCATTTGGGTCTCTAAACCCTAAACCCTAAACCCCTAAACCCTAAACCCTAAAGTGGGAATATCGGACCCCGGGGATGGGTTCGAGGGGCTGGAGGGAGCTCTGGTACCACTGCAACAGTCAGAGGGACAACTCAAGGGAAACGTCTGCCCCAGGCCTAGATCAAAACCCTAATCCCCTCAGCCCTGAACCCCAAACCTACTGGTACGGTTCAGGGTTTGAGTCTGACAAAGCCGGGCGGCAAAAAGCAGAACGTCCAGATGCTTGAGATCCTGCAGCAGCTAACCCTCAACGTGCAACGTCCCATCTTACTTATGTATACACATATACATATACATATACATATACATTTACATATACATATGCATGTATTCATACATCACCGTCTGAAGCCACCCCCCCAACCGCCAAAGCCCAAATAATCCTAAATCCACCTTCAACTTGTAAAAAAAAACCAAAAGATTGAAACTCTCCAGGCTGCGACGGCTCAACCCCGGCTCGTGCCGCCCAAAACGTGATTGGGTTCAAGGGTCGCGGTTTAGGGTTTAGGGTTTTGTCGTTTAACGTTTGTGAGGCCAGGGGTCCTGTGGTGTACAGCTTTGTGGCCTGTGAGCATTCGGAAACCCTACACACTGTACGGGTGAGGTGCTTTGTTAGAGAGTTCTGTGGATTCGGGCTTTCGGATTCGGTGTAAAGACAAATCGTATGTAATCGTAAACCCCCAGACCCAGATTGCCCCAGACAGACTCTAGAATGGTTTAAAGTTTGGGGAACCTAGATACATAAATCCGCTGCTCCATCCCCCGGATCTGGTCCAAGCCACCTCTCCCATCATCAAATCAAGCGCGGTATGCTTGGGACTTCCGGGTGCAGTGGTTTTGGGTCTCATGCATTTCCCCAAGGGTCCAAAAGACCCAATAATTAGGTACTCGGCTTTAGGATAGTGGTTATGTAGACTAGGATTTCGAAGAGTATATGATTATTGGGTACCTGGACCCTTGGGGTTTGAGGTTAAGACTGAAGCTGCACATGTCGTTGGCGCGTGTTAGCAAGAACTCCGGATGCATAGCCGGCTGCACTGGCTAACGAACGGGAAGTACAATTAAACACAGGCTAGGAACATTGCTTTGATACATAGATACATACATACATACATACATGCATGCATACATACATACATACATGCATGCATACATACATACATGCATGCATGCATTTATGCATACATACATACATATTACATATATACATACATGCATGCATGCATGCATACATACATACATACATACATATTACATACATACATACATACATACATACATACATACATACATACATACATACATACATTACATTACATACATACATACATACATACATACATACTTACATATATACATACATACATACATACATACTTACATACATATCACATACATACATACATGCATACATACATACATACATTTTACATACATACATACATACATACATACATATATACATAATATATGTTTTTGTCTATCTAACTGTTTGTTCATTACATATATGTAGATGATCGGTAGGTCGAAAAGATAGAGAGGTAGACAGGTAGGTAGGTGGGTGGGTGGATGGGTGGATGGGTGGACGGATGGATAGATGGATCGATAGTTTCGTGTAGTTGTCTGCATTATACCTTATAGTGCATAAACTGTATGGCTATACGTATACATAATATACTCGTCCTCATTGTCTGTCCCACTGCCTGCAAACCTTGCACTGTGTTAAGCTTTACTCCGTGTGTTTTTGCATGCGCTATATGTGTCTTCATGTTCTCTGGAAACTCTTGGCTGCCAACTCCGCAATATACTACATATACACCGCCAAAACCAATGTACTGTAATCTGTAATATACATGACCTACATTAGACCCTGATGTACCTTGGCTGACTTCTGAACCTCTCCTAAAAGTTAAACTTGTAGCCTATTTTTAATTTCATAGTTCACATAGAAAGAGCCAACCAGAAGAACACCAAGTTGCTGCAATGTTCTACCAATCCTGATGAGACCCATGGTCCGGGCTGCAGGCCTGTCTAAAGGTGTCACCGCCTCCTCCCAACTCACACCCCCAGCGATACCTTGGACAGGGTTTAGGGCTTTTTTTTAAGGGTTTAGGGTTTAGGGTTTAGGGATTAGGGTTTAGGTTTTTTTGTTGAACGACCCTTTTCCGTCTCGCATGCTCCAGGTTTAGGGTTTACGGTTTACGGTTTAGAGATTAGGGTTTAGACACCCCCCAGCGATACATTGGACAGGGTTTAAGGTTTAGGCTTTTTTGTTGACTGACCCTTTTCCGTATCGCATCATCCAGGTTTAGGGTTTAGGGCTTAGGGTTTAAGGTTTGGGGTTTAGCGTTTGGAGATAATGGACTGATAATGGATCAGGGTTTAGATACTCCCAGCGATACCTTGCTAGGACAGGCCCTACCCGAGGCCAGATGTTCCCGCATAGAAGCATAATACAGGGCCTGAACAATTAGAATACAGTTTCGGCGCCCGCTATACTATACTTATGGTGAGGAACCCCCCCAAAATAGTCTTAGTAGATATGTCGAACCCTTTCTTAACCTAGGGTAAACCCAAAGCCCTGAAGCCTCAAGTTCAGCCACCGAACTGTGCAACAAAAAACGAAGCCCTAAACGTTAATGCTTAACCATGCTGCTAAACGCTTGAAAGGTTGTGAAAAGCGTTTGAGACCCCTAAACCCTAAACCCCTATAAACCCTAAACCCTAAAGGTTGCGAACAGCGTTTGAAACGTGAGACTTGGAGCTGACACTGTTTCTGGGTTTCAGGAACCGAGAGCTTGGAAGCTTCTGGCCGGCTAAAGGCCCCTTTGGTGCCTAAACTAGAAAGAATCATAACAGTAGGGTTTAGGGTTTAGGAATAGCAGTCATAATAACAGTAGGAATAACTTCGAAGCTGCCCCCGCCCTGTAATAGTATATTAGGGCCCTATTATATTCCGATTATACCACTATTACAGGGTGGGGGCAGCTTCAAAGGAATAACAGTCATAATAACAATAGTCACAACAACAATAACAATCAATACTTGTAATAACAAGACGAGAAATTACTACTAATAATGGCATTTCAGTTCACGTTTAATATTAGCCAAAACCCCGAACAAGTCAAAAATCAGGAATGCAGCACATATGAAGCCCATGATGTGTCATTTTCCGTAGTAGTACTAAAACTGCATTGATAGCTGATTGTACTCATGCGGAAATTCATAATCATCATAACAACAAAGTGAAAGGAACTTCTGTGGCCTGACTATCTGCCGGACTCCATCCTGCGCAATCTTAAACACCGGTGCTGCAAACCCCTCTTCTAGGGCCCAAAAAGAGCACATAAGCAAAACATAGTATAGGGACGTCCCATATAAACCCCTTATAATAAAGCCCAATAAGGTATGGATATCCCTATCAAATGCTTCTGCTTATGTGCTTCTTTGGGTCCCTAATCTTCTGAACCTGCAGCCGATGTCCACCCCATGAGATGATTTAGGACCCAAGGCACTCATGAAGAGACTGAGCATGCTCTTCGCCAAGGACCCCCAGTAGCGAGTGCTTGCACTTTGGTAGAACTTCACATCCTGCCAACCGCGCTTCAATCTCGGGTGCAGGGTTGGCCACATTATATACGACATAAAGGTACTCTAATATGCGATAATTTACAATCACGTGCGATACTGTACCTTAATATACCTTAACGTACGATGATATACCTTATCGTATTATAGACTTTGCTCGGTAACTCCTTGCAAGAGCCGGAGATCGAGACAGTGGGAAATCAGCACGCAACGCCTGATCCAGTTGAATAATATATAGGGGCCTTCATAACTAGAGCAGGGCTCCTTTGAAGGGGTATGTGTTGTACGAGCTACGGGCTATGGTGAGGATATAGGGACCATACATCTAATAAGGAACCCCCCCGAAACAGTAGTGGTGTAAATATTTCGGCCCCGAAAGTAGGGCTTTCCTGGAGCCCAACCTAGAAGTGGTTAAAGTGTATGCCCGCTATTGAAATCTGCAAGCATACTGCCACAGAAGAAATAAAGCTTCAGTCGCCTCTCAGAATGGTATCTAATACGGACTCGAGCACAAAAAATGTTCGGGCCACACTTGAATGTATCGGACCCTCAACCCTGCATCCCAAGCCCTGAACCTTCACTTTAAAGATGCTGTCAAGTAGTAGTATTGGAGTCTCGTCACACAGAGGTTACGATGCGCCAACTTGCATTCGTGGCGTCAATGACTAGGAGGTGCTTTTACGGCAAACATATTAGTAGGTAAGATCGTCTTAAGCCCAATAAGAGCAGATTTAAAATGTCCCAAAGCCCTACCTAGATGAAGTCTCATGAGTTGTGCGGCTGAAAAAACCGACTGCGAGTCTTTGAAGGGTCACAAGATCTCGGTCCTTTGAACTTAAGCTTTCGGGGGGTCCCGGGCTCATACCCTAAACCCTAAGCCCTAGAAGGGCCGGGTTCGGGCTCGAAGCACGAACCCAACCCCTAAACCCTAAAGCCTAAACCTTATAAACCCTAAACCCCTTTAAACCCTATAAACCCTTTAAACCCTAAACCCTATAAACCCTATAAACCCTAAAATTTCGAAAAGCCTGAAACCGAAACCCGGGAAGGTGGCCTGCAAACGGACACCCAGTGTGGGAACGAGGAAGTCCAACTCCTGGTGGCAAGGTTCCTTTAACCCCAAGGGTCCAAAGGACCCAATAATTAGGTACTCGACTTTAGGATAGTAGATATGTAGGTTAGGACTTGGGAGAGTATATGAGTATTGGGTACTTGGACCCTTGGGGTTTACGGGGTTTCCATTCAGGGGTTCCTGTAAAGGTTCCTTTAAGGTTACCCGGGTCTTGAGGGTTTCATGCTGGTGGCGGGGACTTTCGGCAATTCGTGGTTGAAGGCAAGTCTGACCCCCCCCCCCCGCCCGACCTCGGCGACTCGTGTTTTGTCTGAAAGGCATAGAATTTAGGCTATAGGCTTCAGGATTTAAGCTTCGGGGTTTAGATTTTAAGCTAACAAAATGAAATCTCAAGTTCAATTGGGATAGCACGAAACCCAAGCCGCCACATCGCAGAGTTCCTTGACAATCTTTAAAACCACTCATGTGTAAGAAAGCGAAAAGTGTTCGTCTCGCGTGAAAACGTGAATCTAGACTGCATGGTAAGGCTTAAGGTTGTTTTGAGCCCAAGGCTTGGGATTTACAGCTTATGGTTAGCAAAAAGCTAAATGGCTTCTTGATGTTATGGGGATGGTGAGGGTGGGATGATTTCCGACACGACTAAATCGTAAACCATAAACCCTACATCCTAAACCCTAATTTAACCCGAAACAATAACTGTAATAAGTTAAAGGCTTCACGGGCTTTGGGGCGTCTCTGGGTCGAAGGTTTGGTGCTTAGAGGTTAATGCTGTGTAGGGCATGTGGCGTTTCTGCTTTATGATTTAAGGTTTAGGGGTTGAGGGTCTAGGATATATTACTTGTTCTTAAAGTGTGCTGGCTAGGTCGCCCTAGTCTGTCTTTTTAAGACTCAGGGTTTAGGATTCAAGGTCTGGGATTTAGGATCCAGGGGTTGCCGCCCAGGAAGAAGACAGGCCCTCAACCAGTATCCCGGCTGATCCTACCCCGCCTGGCACGTGATCCGAAGATCCATATGGGCGTTTCCGAAAATTGTCCGAAGTCATACCCTGAATCGACTGTACGTCAACTTCAAGACACGGCCTTGGCGCAGCTGCAGCAAGGCGTTCCCGAAAATAGGGAACCCTAATACCTATACTACTGTACCCTAAATAGAAGGATCCGTATTATGATAAGGATCCCAAAATAAGGTAGCCCCAATTTTCGGAAACTCCCATGTCCGGAATCTAAACCCTCAACCCCCATAAACCCGCGCAACCTCCAATTGTCGAATCCTTATCCGCCTAGGCCTTGCATCTCTCTAACCCCTTGCAACCTAGACCCATGACTACCGTGAGCCCTCCAACCCCTACGTCCCTTCAGAGCCCCTTCAAGACCTAGATCTCTAAATCGCAAAAACTCCGAGAACAAATGCAGACTAAACCTTGCCTCGTCCAGATCAACAATCGCCGTGATGTTATTGTCATTGTTGTAGTCGTAAACTGCTTGGGTAAACAACACCGCAAACACCTCGCAGCCGGGGACAAAAAATCGGACAGTGCTAGGCTGCTTGGGATAGGGCTTAGGGTCTTAACCCTAACTAACCCCTAAACCCTGAACCCTAAACTCCTAACCAAACCCGTAAGCCTAAACCCTGCAGGCCGAAACGCTGAAAGCAAAAGCCGTCGAGGCAATCCACCGTGAGGGTTCGGGATTTTAGCACATTAAAGCTGCTTAGGGTCGAAGACTGAAGCAACTACGGTTCAGAACCAGCAGCTGGGATAGATGCCCCAACAACTACTATCATTAATCCTTACTGCTCCAAACTTTCTGTAGGAGTTCGTAAGATTAATAAGTTCGTGAACCTTGCAAGATCATCTTATCGCATCCCCGTGTGCCAGATCATCTTATCGCATCCCTGTTGTTCGTAGATTTGGAAGATGCGGTCATTACTGGGCTTTGAAGTAACCAGGAGAGAAAAGTATAGACTTTTATTTCATAAGGGTTCCCTTTCAGTAACAGGTCCCGAAAAGTATTAAAGTATGGTACTCCAAAGCCCAGATTAGGATCTCTGGTGCAGACTTTGGAGTCCATGTGCAGTGTCAGGGATTCGAGTGGAGGGCCCCAGCAAAGTCTAGAAACTAAGTTGCGACGGATTGAAAAAAGAAACCCTGCAAGGACCCTTAACACAACAAGCACCAACGAGAACACCCTTCTCAAATTATGATACAAGCCGCCTAGACAGCCTAAAGCCTAAACCCTAAGCCCTACAAAGTATAGTAGCCGGGGCCGGGGCATAAACGATGAGGCCCAAGAGAATCAATGCCCAAAACAGGGCTTTCAGAGTGGAGATGATCGAAGTCCTCAAACATCGGCTTCGGTTAAGGGTTTTTAGGGTTCACTTTTACGAGGTCGGAGTTCTGGAGTTTAGGGTTTAGGATTTAGGGTCTAGGGTTTAGGATTTAGGGTTACGCGTTTAGAGTTCTAGTTCAGCAAGGGCTCTTGGGCTGAATCTTGAGTTCAGGTCTTTGGAGGTTAGTACAGTTTAGGGCTTAGGTTATGGGTTATAGGGTTTAGGGCTTACAGGTTATGTGGTTTAGGGATTACGGTTTTCTTTGTTGAAGTTGCGGTCACCTCCTTCTTTGTCTGCCAGCCTGCGGTTTTCAGGGTTTAACCAAGGGTTCAAGTATCTAAGAATCATATAATCTCCAAAATCCTAACCTACATAACTAATTACTATCCTAAAACCGAGTACTTTATTGTTGGGTCCTTTGGACCCCTGGGGTAAGGTCTAGGGCAGGAGCTCGCGGTTTTGGGCTTAACTTTGGGCTTCTTGGCTACGTAGGGGCCTCAATCGAATAGGCTTGACGGTATGTTGTTAAGAATATTTATCTAGGGAGCTCTAAAGACTGCTCTTATACTAACCATTTAAGTTTCTTCTAGGGGCTTCTACGGAATGCTCTCGCTGACTATTTAAGTTTCTACCTGTCTACTTGTATCTAAGAGATGGGAGTCAGCTGGTTTTGTGAGTTGCGACCTTATTCGAGACTGCAGATCGACTTTTGGGGTGCCTCTCCGAACGTCAGCGCATCTTGAGCTGTTCCCTAAGACTCCAAGTATACAAAGAAAACCTACTTTAGGCTCCAAAGTCTGTAAATGGTATCTACTTTGGGCTATGTGGAGCCTTAGGGTTTGCATGCTACATTTCGGGTTTTTGGGCTTATAAGATTCAGGGGGTTTTTCCACCAAAAGAGCTAATAACAGCATCACGCAAAGCAGAGCCCTCAACCCTACATGCACGGTTCAAGACCTCCGGCCGTTGTTTCAAGCTTAAGTCGCGGCAGTCAGACGAAGCAAATGAACCCTCAATCCTGCACGGCAGGGTTACAGTAGGGAGACTAGAGCACGTTAAGCTCTAAGACCCGATAAGCCCTAAGATCCTAACCCTATAGTCCTACACCCTAAGACCCTACACCCTAAGACCCTAAACTCAAAGACCCCAAACCCTAAGCCATGCACCATAAACTAAAATTGGGTTGCCAGGGGTCACAAGCATCCGCAGGGCCATAACGAAGCGAAAGATCCGCACGAACTGCACGGTTTTGAGCAGGCGAGTGAGTCGGATGATCCGGAAGGACTTCCTTTGGCGGTTGAGTGTTTAGGGTTTTATGCGTTAGGATTCAGCAGACCCTTGGGGATGTAGACCCTCTCAATAAGGTCCACTTTAAGAGAGACAGAAGTAATACTTTTAGGGGTCTCCCTAATACTACCTAGGATTTAGGGCTTAGGTTTAGGGGCTTCCTTCGGAAATAATTGCTGGGGCTTGAGGGGTTCAGACGGGATTAGTGGAGTTTAGGGTTTAGGGGTTAGGGGCCTGTAGTGTTTCAGGCTTAGGGGTTGGGTTTTACAAGTTTGTACTGTTTATGAGGCTTGAGGTTGAGGGTTCAACAGTCAGTTTTTGAGGTCTGAGGTTCAGGGCGTACGCTCTGCTTGTCAGTTCCAGGTTAAACCCCTAGACGCTAGACCACAACCTAACCTAAACCGCAAGACACCTCAAACCCGAAACCTCAAAACCCTAAAAACCTTAAACCATACAAAAGTCTGACACAACTGTCTTCCACCACACAGTGTATCCGCCTTCGGTTTCTGTTGTTTTCTCTATGTTCGAAGGGTTCTGCATCCGACCGGTAGTCGCTATGTCATAGGGCTCTTCGCTGCGGAGGAGGCCTCCTTCAACCGCATCGCGACGACGATGTTCCCAGACCCCCGGGGGGATCTAGAAAGACGATCCCCTAATTTGGGGCCCTATACTACCAAGGGTACTTTATAGGAACCCCCATTAAGGGATCTACTTTTTGGATCCTCCTGGTTGTCTAGGTTAACGACGACGACTAGGACGACCAAGTTTGCGAATACTACCCCTCGGCCGGCTCAGTGGTAGCTGGAGCAAAAGTACTACGCCCTAAACCCTGAGCCCTAAATCGTCAATCTCACACGGAAGAATAGCAGCGGCAGCAGCAGCAGCAGCGGAAGTAGTAGGAGCAGTTCATGCGGTCCTTTTTATGACTTGAAACTTGTGGACGACCTGCACCCCAAAAGCCAAATCAGGCACCGCACGGTTCGCATACATCCCAAGAGAGGAACCCCAAGGGTCCAAGTACCCAATAATCATGTACTCTCGGAAATCCTAACCTACATAACTACTATCCTAAAGCCGAGTACCTAATTATTGGGTCCTTTGGACCCTTGGGGGAACAGCCAGGGACAGCCCAGCATCATGTTCGTCAGCCCTGAGATTGAGTCGATGCCTCCATTCCTCAGCTAGAGGAGACCGGGTTCAGTAGGGTTCCTTATATGAGCCCCACTATTTTGGGGTTATAGGCCCAGGGTTTTTTTTAATCAGGTTCCTACATTAATGTGTGTAAGGTCTGTGCTGGCGTACTGTTACCGCGGTTTAGGTTTTAGGGTTTAGGGTTTAGGGTTTAAAGGACCTCGACAAGTTGTGCCAGGGTCTTGCGCTACGTCAAAGAACAAAGCAGGCATCCTCAGCACATACGGCCACATCCAACATCGCAGCCAGCACAGGGGCCTCTAGAATAGGGTGTGGGGTGTAATACCTGAAGCACAACTAAGCTAAACTGAAAGCACTAAAACCTTAACAGGTCATACATCCTGAACTAAACCCCAAACCATCCCAAACCCTTAACTCTGTACTGCAATCATAACTCATAACATGTTCTGTTTCGACCCTGCTGTCGACATGCATTGTTGTCCGAGTTGTCGGTTTCGTCTTAGCCGGATCTGTTGGATGTCTGAGTCTGCCTCTCTAAGGAGGGTTCTCACGGGGGGGGGGGGGGGTCTTCCAGGTTTCGCTAGTTCAGAGAAGCTGCTCTTGATAGACCATCGATATAATATCGACGGCGACCTCCCACAAGGACGTCACCACAATGAACACATCCAGCAAGCTCCACATCCAGTCCTCTGACCAAAAAAACTGCCTCGGCTTGCAGGTGTGAGCACCCTTGTCCTTTTAAGAAATAATAGACAGAGCTCTATACCTACACCCCTTAGTAGGAATTATTTAAGAAAGTCTACTAGCCGGTCTGTTTATTCTTTTGGGGGAACCATGAAAAAGGACAAGGCTGGGTGTCAGTTTTCGGATCTGAGTTTCACACAGATTACCTAGAGGCGCGTACCCTACCCCTTTCTTAAGGTACCTAATTTTCTAGAAAACAGATCCTAACCATAAAACTAGGTATCCTAAAATGGGGTAGGGTATGAGCCTCTAGGTAAGGATGTGTTGGACTGCTTTACATCTACACTGAGCGATTTCGAGGATCAACAGGAGGTTTGCAACAAAGGATCGAGTCGTAGGCCACAGGGGCCCAAATTCTCTAGAACGGGCTTCTGATAATGCGGAACCTGAAAACGCTTCTATATTTCAGAAACAAAACCCAAGAACCCTATTATACTTTGAGGACATGCAGGGATTCAGTAATTAATGTAAACCTTCTTCGTGTAGGGCATCAGCTATGGTAAATCCTTATACCCAATCATCTCACACCCTATGCGCCTGGATTTCAACCACGAAATCATATCTGCGCCAAATGCTCACACACGCGTGCGTTGCATTGGGGCTCCATGTTATCATGTTTGGCTTCGCATCTCTGTGAAATGACCATTTCTCGACAAGCCGCCATCTTAAGGCCACCATGCGTACCATGAGCTCGCCACAGAAAAGCACCGTGTAGGTGTACTGGACCACCTGTTTGCGACGCTAAACCCGAAACCTTAACCCAACCCAAACCCTGAGCCCTAAGGACTTGTGGGGGTTGTATAAGAACCCCGTATAAACATCCTTTTTGCCTGAACGTCCTTATCACGTTTTGTTATTCTTATCGTTTGTTCACGAAAACTCCATTGTCGTGTTACAATCGTTGTGTTTTCTCCCTATCGTTTTTCCATAGAAAGCCATCCACAACAACCGAACAACGACATGCCAACACTAAACCTAAATTCGCAAGGTTATGATACAATCCATTGTGAACTTCGACTCAAAGATGTACATCCACACCCTGGCGTGGATCAGCCAAACACGAACTGCTGTCCACCTCGGAGTGTCTCCAATTCGCAAAGTCTCTATATCCTAAACCCTTCAACCCTACCTTACATGAACCCCGCGCTTCTGCATCCTGCTGCTTTCAGTTGCGTCTCTCTGGCGCGGGAAGAGCAGCAACGAAGCAAGGAGGTTACAGGCATGCAGTGGCATTGCGTTGTTCTGACCGATACAGAACCACCCCTCATCCCTGCACCCGTGACCCTACACCGTCAGTCCCAAACTTGACCTGTAGTCTCCACTGTGGTGCCTTTTTTGGGTTACCTTTTAGGATCCTTTATACACATTTGGTTCTACCAGAAAGAACTACAATGGAGACTATAGGTAACCCTTGAACTCAAACCCCGAATCCCAAACCTTTTACTCGCAAAGCCTTAACACCATGCAATTAAACCTCTTACGGCACATCGCACGCAATGAGATCAATCCCGACGTCAGGCTTAGAACTTATTGATGCTTGGGGTTCGGAACTAGAGTTTCTAAGGCCTTACCCAAGAGTTCCTATGTAGCTATACGGGAGTTTCCGAATAGGGGACCCTAATATAGTACACTAAATAGTAGGATCCTTAGTATAAGGACTCCAAAATACGGCAAATACCCCGTAGTTTCGGAAACTCCCATAGAACTTCGGGATGCATCCCTGATGGGAGGCCAAAACAGTGGTTTGAGATTCTTGGGGTAGGGATTCCTGAATATGAACCCCAATCCCCACTAAACCCCCATTTGCTAAAACCCCTTTTGGCCTCCTATGAATCCCATTTAATATTACCTACGACCCTTCGGGTTAGGGTCATGGACGTTTGGCTTTTTGGAGCTCGGGGCTCTCGCGCAAGGGGACGGCTCAGTTTCGGGTTCAGGGTTTAGGGCCAAGTTTAGGGTTTAGGGTTTCTACGGTTTTAGGGTTTAGGGTTTCTACGGTTTTAGGGTTTAGGGTTTTTACGGTTTTAGGGTTAGGGTTTAGAGTTTTAAGGTTTTAGGGTTCAGGGCTTAGGGCGGGCCTTGTAGCTGAACGGTCGCTCGCCATCATAGGTCACTGAATGGTGCACGTCGATTCCGATGAAAATTGCATTGCTGATCTGGCCGCTTGCGAAGCTCCAATGGTCCAGGGCTTCGGGATTAAATGTGAGGTGTCGATTTCAACAGTCCCCAAGATTATTTCTAGTAAGGCTGTACCCTAAGGCTCCTGGACCCTGGTCGTCCGAGCCCTCCCCTAGAAAGCCCATGACCCCTTCTCCTTAGGATAGGTTGAAGAAAAAGGGATATGGGAGTTTCCGAAAATAGGGGACCCTAATATAGTACCCTAAATAGTAGGATCCTCATTATAAGGACCCCAAAATAATGTACCCCTTATTTTCGGAAACTCCCATATAAACGACGAGACGAAATCGAAACCTAGAAGAAGGCTGAGCATCGAGGCCCCGAACCGGGAAGTCGGAAGATTCGGGGCGAAGACTTAGGAACTTGCCCCCGAGGCTCATACCCTACGCGTCTGTTAGGATACCTAGTTAGTTTAGGGTTTAGGGTTTAAGGTTTAGGGTTTAGGGTTTTAGGATCTGTTATATAGAAAACTAGGTACCTCAAAAAAGGGGTAGGGCATGAGCCTGTAGCTGGGATTAGAGTTTGGGCCAGGGAGGATCTAGAAAGTAGATCCCCTAATTTGGGGCCCTATACTACTAAGGGTACTTTATAGGAACCCCATTGAGGGATCTACTTTTTGGATCCTCCCGGGGGTCTGGGAATAGGAACCTCGGAAAAGTTTTGGTATTAATTCGTCCGGCGGATTCAGCGTGCAGGGTTTCGGCTTTCGGGTTAGGCCCAGACATGATACATGGGAGTTTCCGAAAATAGGGGACCCTAATATCGTACCCTAAATAGTAGGATCTATATTATAAGGATCCCTAGAAAAGGTACGCCCAATTTCCGGAAACTCCCACATGATGTTAAGTTACCGCCGCAGACAGACTCCGACTTTGGTCTTTGGGGCGACTGGAAAGATCCACACCACCACTTGTAGACCGGACATCATCACAAGTCTTCGGTGAGATGGTGAAGACCCCAGCAGAGATTAGGACTCTCGGGTCTAGGGTTCAGGGTTTAAGGCTCTGGGGTTTGCGGTTGAGTAAAGGTGTGAGATGGTGTGAGGACCGTTCTGTCTGGTTTGCATCATGCTGTGGCACACTAAAACTCTGAAATATAATTCCGCGAGCCGAGACCCTGAACTGCACAGCCCCATGCCCTCCCTAAGACACAAACGCTGGACCTGGACACTTAAACAACTGTACCTGAACACGTTTTCATCCAAAGCTGCTGCGAGGAAATGCCGGCCGAAGACCTACGAAGCCCAAATGCGAATGCCCTCCGGTAGGAGAAGAGCGGCCACAACCAGCGCGAAAAAACCTTCGAAAGCGTGATGTTGCGCCACGCGCTTCATGCACGAGTCCTTGGACGGGGAAGTAGTAGGACTTATATAAATGTCGGACTGCTTGAACACCTATATAGGCAACTCAATTAAGCCGTTATTATGGTTTCGGTACACTCTACTAAGTACTATGATTTCACACCCATCCATCCACCTGCCCACCCAGCCGTCCATGCATCCATCCATGCACGTTGACACACTTCAATGCATACTACATGAACGCGTTAGTTCATTCATTGCTTCGTTCGTTCGTTCGTGACCTCCCTGCCTCCAGGTTTGTATCGTTCCATCTTTGCGTCCATGCATGCATGTGCATGCATAACTCCTTCACTCATGACGCGGACTGTCCCTTACGAGTAACTAGGACGAGGCAACTAACCCGTTGAAGCTCTGCATCTTCCACGCACCCCGAAGACTGCCGCGTGGGGCTCAGAAGGCGTTGGGGGAACACCACCGAGGACCATGGAAAAACCACAACCAGCTAAACCCTGAGCCCTAAACCCTAAAACCCCAAACCCTAAAAACCCTGAACCTCTAAACACCAAACTCTTAAACCCTAAACCCTTACACCCAAAAACCAAATTAGGAAAAAGGACCCTGCATCCTTCAGAGGATTTCCAAGGCCATGCGAAGTAGAAGACCCCAAGGCGGGCAGAGAAGGTCCGATCGGTGAATCAAGCATTGGAGCCGTCCTAAACCCTGGTACTCGGAGGTTCATGGGTAGTTATAAGTAGGGTGAAAAGTAAGGTAACTATACTTAAACGCCATATTAGGGGACGTATAACCCCACCTATAACTACCGGTGAACCTCCAAGTACAACCCGTGAAAGAAGCAAAACGCGAGTAGGACCCTTATCGGAGCCCTGAAAGAACCTGTAAACCAGGACCTCGTAAGCTGCTACTGGGCTTCGGCGCCCTGATGCACGTGGTGAACACCTCTGGAGACCTCCACGGCGCAGTCGGGTTTAGGCTTTAGCCCCAAGGGTCCGAGTACCCAATAATCATATACTCTCCGAAATCCTATCCTACTACTATCCTAAAACCGAGTACCTAATTATTGGGTCGGATGTAGCACTCCACATGGTTTCAGCATCGAGAGGAGGGAAGATCAGGCGAAAGCTAAGGCCAACGCTGCAACCCAAACCGCCGTCCAACACCTGAAGGCAGTAAACCCACAGCCCCAATCCTGAGTCGTTTCTCGGAGGCTCTGTGTCGGGAGGTGTTGGCAATCCATGGTTTACGGCCAGGAGTAGCGGGCGAAGCTTTGAGCTTGATTCTTCAGCTCTAGCGCTCCTTGTCATTGCTGCCATCATAGGCCCCAGAACCCTATTCCAAGCATTTAAGCCCCTGTAGTAGAACTCTTATCCTGACCCTTATATAGAACCCTTAACATCGAGATTGGGTTTCAAGGGTTGCAGGTTTAGTCTGCAGGAAACTCGAGTTCGAGACTCTAGGCATTCTACTTGTAGGCCAACCCAGACCCCCGCCGGGAGGATCCAAAAAGTAGATCCCTTAACAGGGGTTCGTATAAAGTACACTTAGTAGTATAGGGTCCCAAAGTACGGGATCTACTTTCGAGATCCTCCCGGGGTTCTGGGAAACTCGAAACGCATGGGCCGAGGTCTCGGGCACGCCCCGTTTAGCTGGATCCCCTTCATTGCAGGCCTCAGTCGCCCTACCCTCACACCCCCAAGTCCTACAGTACACTAGAGTTCCCATACATAGCTGCCAAGTTATGGCAAGCTGGCAAAAGTTCCTAAACCCTAAACCTGACACCCAAGCTCACCTTACCCCAAGGGTCAAAGTACCCAATAATCATATACTCTCCGAGATCCTAGCCTACATAACTACTATCCTAAAGCCGAGTGCCTAATTATTGGGTCCTTTGGACCCTTGGGGTTACCGTGACCCTTACAGAACCCGAGGCCCGAGGACCTAATCCCTTTCAAAACCTTCAAAAATCCTTTAGCAGCACTCTGAATCCCCAACCCGTTTTTCAACCTTATAGAACCCTTGTACAACCCTTTAGCCCGATTTTAGCACCCTAAACCCTTCGAGCACCACTTATAAAGCCCTACTTACAGTCTCCATTGTAGCTCCTTTTCCCGTTTAACCCATCTTATATTAAGGATCCTAGAGGGTAACCCGACAAAGGAACTACAATGGAGACTACAGGAAAGCCCTTCTTTGGGCGCACGTTCTAAAATTTTACAGAACCCTTTATACAGCCTTTTTCAGAACCCTGAACCCTTTGAAACCCGCATAAAGCCCTACTTATAGTTTCCATTGTAGTTCCTTTTTCTGGTTTAACTAATCATTAGATTAAGGATCCGAAGAGGTGACCCGAAAAAGAAGCTGCGCCGCTAAACCCTAAACCCCCAACCCTACACCCTAAGCCCCAAACCCTGAACCAAGCCCTTATAAAGCCATAAGCCCTTCCTTGGGCACCCGAAAGCCACAGAGCAGCCTTGGAGGCGAACTTACGCATGGCGTGCTGCGCGTGGAGCAGCGCGGCGCTTTCTTTCTTCTCCAGATCCTCGAGGGGTTTTTAGGGATTTTTTGGCTCAATGTAGGGCTTAGGCTAAGGGTTTATGGGGGTTCTACCTATAGTCTCTCCATTGTAATTCGTTTTTTGGGTTACCTTTTAGGATCCTTTATACAAATTTTGTTATACCAGAAAAAGGAACTACAATGGAGACTGTAGGTAGGGCTTCTATAGGGCTTATGGGGTGGGGCTTATGGGGCTTATAGGGTTTATGGGGGTAAGGGTTGGGGGTTCAATAGAGTTCAGGACTTTAAAGTTATGAGGGCTGAGGCTGGAGGGTTTCAGAGGGGTTCGGTAAGGTGCCATGAATGGTTTTATGCGGGTACTACAAATGTTCGACGAGGTGCAATAAGGGTTCTCTACTGAAGACATTAAACTCTTAAACCCTCAGCCCTAATCTCCGAATCCTGAACACTAAACTCCCCAAAATCTCTCAAACCCTCAGCTCCAGAACTCTTACCCCGACGCTCCAAAACCCTAAACTGAACCCTAAGCCCTAAGCCCCCAACCCCAACAACAGGGCTCAGTACCCTTCATCTTATTAGGAAGGGGTTGAAGGTTTTGGGGAGCAGGTTTTGGTGGCTGCAGGGTTTAGTCAGGGCTTGGAGCAGAGGTCTTACCTTCGGTCTAGCCTGAGCTGCCTATGTCGCCTTGCCCCAAGTTTGAACGAGGTCCACCCGAAACAAGGCCTCAACCGCGGATCTATCCCACCGTCCTCCGCAGTGTAGCTGGTGAGGACAATCGAGGAGCCTTTTGCCGAAAACTTCCTGATTTTGCATCCACGTCTGGATTGTAAAGGGACCCTACATGCAAACCCAAATAAACGGATCCTGATTGCAAGGACCCTTACTCAAGGCACTTGCATGAGCCCCATTTGGGAGTTTCCGAAACTAGGGGACCTTAATATAGTACCCTAAATTGTAGGATCCTTATTACAAGGACCCCAAAACAAGGTACCTGCAAGTTTCGAGTCTCGGAAACCCTGGAGGGAACGTGGGGCTGCCTGTGGGGATCGTGGGCTTATAGGGGCGCTGGGGCGAACTGAGGCCAAACGCATCGACAGCAGCAGCGGCGACACAACAACGGTTTAGGGTTTAGGGTTTTGGGGGTTTCGGGTTTCGGGTTTAGGGTTTAGGGGTTTAGGGTTTAGGGGTTTAGGGTTTAGGGGTCCGAACACCTAAATCCGGCCGCCTTCTTCGCCTGATTCGAGAACCTCATAGTTGGACATGTCATAAACGGGATAGGTAGCAGCAGTCTGCCGGAGGCCTGCGAAGCTCTGAGATAAACCCTAAACCCTAAACCCAAAACCCAGAACCCTAAACTGCTGAACCGCTCAGCCTATTCTCCGCATAAAACACGGCCTGAAAGCCCTGAACTCTAAACCCTAAAACCCTAACAAAGGGTCCTTAGTAATTCGAAGAAGGTTCCTTTCAAGGGGTCCTAGGGAATCCCAGCACTGTTTGGCCTTAATCCGGTTTCCAACTTTATGGGTGTTTACCGTAAAACCAAAGATGGTATTCCCTTAAGTACCTGTAGCCGAAAAGACCTTCCCTTTTTAAGGAACTATATATATATATATATATATATATATATATATATATATAGAAACCATGATAAGGAACCCTAAAAAGGCAGGCCCTTTCGGCTACAGGTACACCCTAAACCGCCAAGGATCTTGTCAACCCTTTCCTCCTCCTCGCCCTCGCTCGGACTCGCCTGTCGGACGGCAGCTGATGGGATGCCACGAGGGTGGGGGGTTAAGATTCTTGGGGTAGGGATTCCTTAATATGAACCCTAGTATGGGAACCCAAATCCCTACTAAACCCCCATACCCTAAACCCTAAACCCCTACACCCTAAACCCTAAAAAACCCTAAACCCTATAAACCCCAATCCGGGCCTCATGACCACAGTTTAGAGTTTAGGGTTCGGGGTGTCGGATTCTACAGCTCGTGTCGCTAGTCTTGCAAGCTCAGGGCCTAGAACGTACCATTTGCAGTCCGGGGGGAATTCAAGAGTAAGCTGAAATCCAAGAGACGCAGAGCCCTGAACCCTCGCTGACCTTTGGAGAGTCACGGCGTGTTGGAGAGTCCCGGCGTGACAGTCGACGTTGCGGCTTTGGCCGTTCTGGATAGTGCTCGAGTTCGACGTGCCTCATCGTACGGGGTCACATGGGTGATCGAGGAACAGAGGCGGGGGAACCAGAAATGGAAATACACCAAACCCATGAACTGTGGACTCTTAAGCCCCCGAACCCCGAAACAGTAATTAAACTCTGAATCCTCCTCTTCATTGAGTGTGCCGAGTTTAAAAACGTTACTCATGCCAGTACTAGTCTACGAGTATACGTACTAGTGTGTACTGCCGTCCTAAGTGTACCAGCGCTAGGTGGAAGGTGGTGGTAGTAGTAGTAGTAGTAGTAGTAGCAGCAGTAGCAGTAGCAGCAACAGCAGCAGGAGCAGGAGCAGGAGCAGGAGCAGGAGCAGGAGCAGGAGCAGGAGCGGGAGCAGGAGCAGGAGCAGGAGCAGGAGCAGTAGCAGTAGCAGTAGCAGTAGCAGTAGCAGGAGCAGTAGCAGTAGCAGGAGTAGTAGTAGTAGTAGTAGTAGTAGTAGTAGTAGTAGTAGTAGTAGTAGTAGTAGTAGTAGTAGTAGTAGTAGTAGTAGTAGTAGTAGTAGTAGTAGTAGTAGTAGTAGTAGTAGTAGTAGTAGTAGTAGTAGTAGTAGTAGTAGTAGTAGTAGTAGTAGTAGTAGTAGTAGTAGTAGTAGTAGTAGTAGTAGTAGTAGTAGTAGTAGTAGTAGTAGTAGTAGTAGTAGTAGTAGTAGTAGTAGTAGTAGTAGTAGTAGTAGTAGTAGTAGTAGTAGTAGTAGTGGTAGTGGCGGCGGTGGTGGTGGTGGTGGCGGCGGCGGCAGTGGCGGTGGTGGTTGTGGTGGCGGTGGTGGTTGTGGTGGCAGCGGTAGCGGTAGTGAGAAGTCAGAAGTAGCAGAACGTAGTATCGTAAGTAGTAGGTAGTTGTCTCGTCGGTCATGGCCGATATGACCAATTAACTAATGACGCGCTTTTTTGCGTTGCATCTCAATGCGTGCTTGCCTGTTTGCTTCATTCCTTCCGTGCATAGCTTCTGGGTTGCTCCCCGAGTTGCATGCTTGCTTGCTTGCCGGCTTGCTTGGCTCCAGACAGGAAACCCAAAAATGTATACACGAACAGCGGCGAAAACGAACAAACCAACAGATCCCGAAAAAAAGGATCGGGGCCTTAGGGTGGGTGGGTCTGCCGACTGTTGCGTGCTCGTTTTGAATGCTTCCGATCAGCAAACCCCAGACTCACACAGCAACATCCCAAAGCGCAAGTCTCAACTCTAAGTATACCGGCCCTAACCTCCGGGTGCAGGTAGAGCTCGGAAGGCATCACGCCCCCCTCCCCCCCCAAAGTGCGATGCCCCCATATCCCAACACCTGGAAAACACCTTCAACCCAAAACCCTGAATGGGGGGTTCCGAAAATAGGGGATCCTAACCTGGTACCCTATTCGTAGGATCCGTATTGTAAGGGCCCCGAAACAAGGCATGCCTTTAACTTAGTTTCGGAAACCCCTAAACCCTGAACCCCTAAACCCCAAACTCGAAATGCGTGCGAAGGTGCCGGGGCAAGACGGGAGACCGCGGAAGGCCTTGCGAGAGTGCTTGCCGCAGGAGCGCCTCCTGGATGTGTGTACTTGGAGGGTCGGGGGACTTAGTAACTGGTTATTTTAGGGACTTATAAGTACCATAACCCCAATTAGGGTCCCTTTTAGGGTACTTATAAGTCTACTTACTACCTACTTACTAAGTCCCCCGACCCTCCAAGTAAGAAAAGGGTCTTAATAATTAGAATAGGGTTCCTTTAAGGGTTCCTTTAAAGGGGTCTATAAGGGCTACTCTACTATATAGGGATCTTCAAGGGCACTATAATATAGGAGCCTTAATGCTTAGAATAGGGTTCCTTTAAATAGGTCTATATATGGGCTAGTATAAGCCTAGACCCAAGAGTAACCTAGGAATAAAAAGGGTGCCCTTTTTGGGGTAAAGGGGGTTATAAGGGAACCTAACCCATAAAAAAGGGAATAAGGGCCTACTCTGGGTCCTAGAAGCGGTATTATAGGGATTTAGTGTACGGGGCCTCAATAATTGGAATAAGGTTCCTTTAAGGGTTCCTTTAAAGGGGTCTATAAGGGCCACTATAAGACTATCAGGGCTACTATAACGGGTAGCAGAAGGATCTGCTCCTGTGAGGGTCTTAGGGTTCCGAGCGTGGGGCTCTTGAAGGGTTTTAGAAAAGGGTGCAGAAACCCCACATTCAACCCCTCAACCCTAAACCCCTCAACCCTAAACCCCTCAACCCTAAACCCCCAACCCCTAAACCCCTTCCCCTCCTGAACCAACCCCTAAACCCAGAAGGAAAGAACGTCGTTGGAGCCCCGATCTCATTGAACCCCAAAGGAGTCGCCAGGAACGCCCATGCAAACCCTAGGATGAGAATTTCGGGCTTGCGGTTCAGGGCTTAGGGTTGAGAGCCCAGGGTTTAGGGGTTTAGGGTTCAGGGTTTAGGTTTGAGGTTGTAGGGTTGACGGTTTAGGGTAACCTAGTTGTGGAGTTCTTTGGAGAACACGGTTGGCAACGAAGCTTTAGGGTTCAGGGTTTAGGGGGCCACGAGAAGATTGGCAATTTGGACTATGGGAAATGTAGAGCCCATGAGGTGAACAAAAATACCAGCTCGCCTGCTGAATGTTTACTATTCAGGCTATATATAGGTCCCATACCCGGACCCCAAAAGTATGTAGGATCAATTCATTTGTAAGTGATGGGTGGTTATTTTGCCCACTTTGGGATTCAATTAACTTACTACCCCAATAATAAGCCACAGTAATAACAGATTAAACTTTCCGCTTCCTACTGAACTATAAGAAACCACAAAGTTTAAAGGTTAGGTATTGGGGATCTAAGTTAAGATTCTTTCGAGGAACCCTTATAGATCCCTTTAAAGGAACCCTATAGAACCCCTATCGAACCTAAGGATCCCTTTAAAGGTAGGCGAGGATGGTCGGGGCTGCTAAGCAAACGCCCGCGTGCCTGGACGTCCAGGCGGCGCATGATCGTGTTGTGGGTCCGTGCCAGCTGCGTGGAGAGCCCCGTGACGTCCTAACGAGAGCTGTCCATGGGATGGTGGAGCTTGGAGGTTCATGGGTAGTTATAGGTGTTCCTTTAAGGGCCCCTTTGAAGGGTTCTGTAGCGATTTAGGGTCTAGGGTTTAAGGGTGTAGGGGTTAGGGTTTAGGGTAGTTATAAGTGGGGTTATAAGGCCCCTAATAGGGTTATACCCTACCTATGACCCTACTTATAACTACCCATGAACCTGCAAGAGGGCAGGGTGAGACTACTGCCTGTATACCGATAGTTCGGGGGTGCCCAATGCCTGAAGGCTCATGGGTCCATGAAGGGGATATAGGAGTGCTTCTGGTCGTAAGCACGGTGGGCTACTCACAGTTAGTACCCCTTGCCATTCCCCAAGGGTCCAAAGGACCCAATAATTAGGTACTCGGCTTTAGGATAGTAGGTATGTAGGCTAGGATTTCGGAGAGTGTATGATTATTGCGTACTTGGACCCTTGGGGTAAGGTGAACTTGGGGGTCGGGTTTAGGGTTTAGGAACTTTTGCCAGCTTGCCATAACCTGGTACGGTATAAGGGATCCTAGCACTCATCCTCCTAAAGTCATGTTCCAACTTTCTGGCTTCTATTATACTACCCCTTGCCATTGGCAAGGATGTCGTCAGCCCAATAGGGCTCTCTGCTCGGATAATTGGGGGCTCCTGCGGACTTGCTATCTAGCTAGACACCCAAGGGTAACCCAGGAATAAAACGGGTGCCCTTTTGGTTTAAAGGGGCTTATAGGGGAATCTGAACCCCTAAAAAAGTGAGTAAGGGCCTACTCTAGGTCCTAGTAGCGTGCATTTTTGGCTCGTTTACACTATTCGGGTGGACGAAGAAAGATGCGCATCTTTACACAGCGCAGAGATCGTCGCGCGACCAGCCGCTCACGCCCCTCTTGACCCCAAATGCCAAAGCCCAGGTTTGGGCCATCCACCTGGACCCGTCAACTGAGTCTTTAATTCCGCCATGCACCCCTACTTGGAGGTTCATGGATAGTTTTAAGTCCCCTAATATGGGTTATAAGTATAGTTACCTTACTTATAACCCCAGTTATAACTACCCATGAACCTCCAAGTACCCCTGCAAACGGAAACCCGGTGGCCTCTGCCACAGCTGCATCGTCCGATGCCGCCGCTAGTGCTTCCTGCGACTCTCACACTGCGCAAAGTTGAGGGTTTTGAGGCATTACCTACGGCCTCCATAGTAGTTCCTTGTTGAAGTTCATAAATAGAATCCTATAAGGTAATCCCCAAAAGGAACTACCATGGACCCTGTGGGTACCATGCTTATAAACAACAAATGCGCGGATTGCTTATGTCTGTGCATGTGTTTATATGTGTGCATGTACGGATATGTATGTTTGTGCTTATATTCTGATGTATTCGTATGATCTACACACATACACACTTTGGCACGTACTCATGCACACTTGTACAGACTGTTACACCACTCTACATACACATGTGCTCACACGGTTTATGTTATAATCCTGCATTACCTTAAGGACCCTAAACTATGGGAATTATGGTATATTCCTAATTCTGGGTAAGGCAGGATATAGATCATTAGCCGTATGTAGACTTTCAGGCTTCTATATACCCGTCAGCCCTCATTAAGGCAACAACGAGGGGTCTGCCGAGAACCGACCCTGAACCCTGCAAGACTTTTATCCTTCGGGCTCAGCTTGTTCTCAAGAACCTTCAGGACACTTCTTACCCTAAAAACTCTAAACCCTAAACTTAACACAAATTATGCCACACTTCTTCCCCTAAACTCTAAACCCTAAACCCCTAAACCCCTTGAAGAAACTTCGAGGATGTTGGCTTCTTTGCTCGAATCCCAGAACCCAAACCCGCCCGCAGCCGCTCCGGTCGGCGTGCCTACACTTACTCTAAGCCGCCAGTTTGGGACGGCCTTGTGGCTTCCCGGATTAGCACCCTGAACACCAGGCTCAGGGTTTAGGGTTTAGGGTTTAGGGTATAGGGTTTAGGGTTTAGGGTTTACGGTTTAGGGTTTAGGGTTTAGGGTTTAGGGTTTAAGGTATAGGGTTTAGGGTAGTTTAGGGTTTAGGGTTTAGAGAGCCCATGAGCTGAAAGAAAAGACCCTACGGTTCACTCCAAACCTTATATGTGTTCGTAGCTGTTGGGCTGCCCTTAGGGCCAGTGCATCCCTCCACTTTCGGACGGTGCTTTCTTGATGGCCTGATGGGATGGGGGTGGGCACAGGTTGTGTTTGTGTTGTTGGTGCTTGCTTTTCATGTTCTAGTGGGCTGTTACACCCTACAAACCCTATACACCCATAAACCCGGAACTGCTCTAAACCCTATAAATCCAATAGAATCATCCCAAAACCCACAAGCCCCTAAACCCCCTACATCGAAGCCGGCGACCGGCGCGCCTCTTGTTTCCCGGGCCGAGCAGACGTCGGACGCGGCATGGCGTGTTCTTAAAGTCCTGCAGATCTCCAAGCACAGGGACGAAAAGCAAGCAGAAGACTACAGTTTAGATGCATGTTCGAAACATAGACTTTTAAGCTTTTCCCCAAAGCCCAATCATCATCCTAGTCGCTACAAGCGGGTAATCATACTCACGATGATCAGTTCTGACACGAATGGGCAGAATAGATTCCCCTCCTGACCTAAGGACCTCAAGCTCTTGTTTAAGCCCGGGCCCTCCTCCCCGAGGGCCGCTCCACAGAAACTCAAAGCTTGGAGAGCTCTTTCTTTGCTTTCACGAACAATGGGCTTCGAAGAGAAAGGTTAGCACTATAAGATAAGGGACAGCTCCAGAACTCTTGATGGGCATGCTCACGATGTTCGGGCTTTTGGGGGTGTGGCCATGTAATCTAGGGTGGCCCGCCGAAGAGTGCACTGTGGGTGCCGTCTCTGAGCCAAGACAAAACGCGGCGGCGAGAACTGAAGCGATCAAACCTAAATCAGGGTCTAAACCCGAGCCCGCACCTAGAAACCTGAAATGCGCGACCTGTTTGAGTAGTGACTTAGTAGGGGTGAGGTCGGGGGCTTTTGGCGGCCATCATCATGAGGGAATTTTTCAGAAAAATGAGAAAGAAACGTAGTACGGAAACGACCGTTCACGTTGTCGAACAGCCTGCTAATACTCTGACTGCATCCTCCTTGGACTCTTAGCCTACGCCCCTTGAGTCCTACGCCCAAACCCTAAATCCCGCCCCGAATGCTCCGCTTCTGTCGCATTTCCATAGAAAGACAGAAGAGGTCCAGGGCTCCCAGCTAAGAACACAAACGACGTTCACAAGTAGCTTTTGTTGGGTTTCTAAGCGTAACCCCAAACCCTCAACCCCTAAACCCTAAACCCCAACAGAAAGCCCTCAGTCACCGCTTCTCTTGCTCACTGCTTATCTGTTCACCCGAAGCCTTGTAAGTTTATAGGCATTCCCTACAGCCCCCTCAACCCTAAACCCTAAACCGCGCCCCTGAACCCTAACGGCTAAGCCCGAATCTCCAAAGCGCCCTATGACCTTCGAAAACTCGTAAACCAACTTATGACTCAGCACTTTACCAAAGCCAAACCTTAAACTCTGGCCCTAAAGTTGCCCTACATACTACCTGGAGGCTCATACCGTACACTTGTTTAAGATACCTAGCTTTATGGTTCGGATCTGTTATATAGACAATTGGATACCTTAAACAAGGGGTAGGGTATGAGCCTCTAGGTAGACCGAAGACCTGAAGCCCTACTAAAGCTTGAAAATGCTGAACCTTACTACTAGCTATCTTACATAAACCCACAAACCCTACCTGGAGCATGAAGAACCTACGTTTTTCGAGTTTCCTATTATGATATCAATATTCTCAATCCTTAAAACGGTAGGTTCTTTAGGGTCGACTTCGAGGTTCATGGGTAGTTATAAGTAGGGTAACTATACTTATAGCCCATATTAGGGGACTTAAAACCCCGCTTACAACTACGCCTGAACCTCCCAGTACACCCCAAACCCCTAAACCCTAAACTCTAAACCCTAAACCCCCAACCCTAAACCTCTAAACCCTATGCCTAAAATCTAAACCCCTAAATCCGTAAACCCCTAAACCCTACATCCGTAAACCCTAAATCTAAGTAAGCCCCTGAACCGCCAAACCTCCCAGACCCCCGGGAGGATCCAAAAAGTAGATCCCTTAATGGGGCTTCCTATAAAGTAACCTTAGTAGTATAGGGCCCCCCAAATTAGGGGATCTACTTTCCCTTATAGATCCCTGAACCCTAAACCCTTAAGGATCCCTTAAAGCAGCCCTTTCTAGATCCTCCCGAGGGTCTGGGTGTAGGCCCCAAAATAGGGGATCCTAACACTCGCTCTCGGCGACCCGGCGTCTCAGCGATCTGAGCAGCGGGAGACTCGCGCTCGGAATCCTCCGATGTGGCCCGAAGGGTCCATGTACCCATATAGTGGTTCCTTTAAGGGTTCCTTTAAGGTATCCTATAAGGGTTCCTTTAAGGTATCCTGTAAGGGTTCCTTTAAGGGTACCATCAGGGTTTAGGGTTTAAGGGTCCATGTACCCATATAGTATATACATTGGCCTTAAAGTAAGTCCCTATAAAGGTACGGTCAAAGTATATCCTGTATTGGTTCCTTAGGGTGGGTTTAGGGCCCCAATTAGGTACTCTGTTTTAGGAGGCTTTAGGGTTTAGGGATTCAGGGATTAAGGGGTTCAGGGTAGGGTTTAGGGTTTAGGGATTCAGGGATTAAAAGGGGTTTAGGGTTTAGGGATTCAGGGATTGAAGGGGTGGGCATGGCCCCAACCCGAAGGGTCCAAACGACCCAACAATTAGGCACTCTGTTTTAGGATATTATGTAGGTTAGGATTTCGGAGAGTATATGATTATTAGGTACTTGAACCCTTGGGGCAAGGGTCCAATAGCCAACGGTTGATTATATAAATCCTGCGTTACCCATAAGAAGGAATATACCATAATTCCCATAGATTCCTTATTACGGGTAATGCAGGATTTATATGGGAGTTAAAATAGGGGACCCTTATATAGTACCCTAAATAGTAGGATCCTTATTATAAGAACCCCAAGATAGGGTACCCCGAATTTTCGGAAACTCCCATATCATCAACCGAAACAGTCCCTTTTTTGGGGTTCGGACGCTTAGGGCCTTGGGATTTAGGGTTTAGAGTTTCGGGTTTTAGGGTTTAGGGTTTCGATTTTAGGATTTTAGGGTTTCTCCTTAGCCAAAAAGCTCCGAAGCCCTCTGTTGATGAGGATCCTTAGGCTGGGAGTTCAGGATGTAGCGCTTTGGTGTTTGGGGCTACTATACTGAACTTAGAACCCTAGCAAAAATTGTAATTTCGGCTGTTTCTTAGGGATTATAATAACCCAAAAATTGAAAACTATTTCTAAGTACCCCTAAGGATATAGGCTTTGAGAGGGGCGGCTGGGGAGGGTTTAAGGTTGGCTTGGAGGGTTTAGGGAGTTTAGGGTTTTTGGGTTTTAGGGTTCAGGGATTTGGCGTGAAGGGCTCCTAGGGGATTGGAGTCTCGGGACTTTTCGAGGTTCTTGTCTTCTCCGGTCAGAGAGCCCTTAGTTCAACGCGGACCGCACCAAGCCCTGTACTATACCCCCATGCCTGTCCCTGTCAAGGTAGCTTTCCCAAAGAGAAGCCCTCCAACCCTGGCTGCCTAGACCCGCCCAACTACCCTCTACTATACCTTAAGTACCCACTATTAAGAGCCATAAGGGCTCCATTGAAGGGTACTTGAGGTACCCTCTATTAAGAACCATAAGGGCTCTATGAAGGGGTGCTTAAGTAGCCACTATTATACGAACCATAAGGGCTCTATTAAAGGGAAAACTTGGGGGCTTCTGGTGAGTTCCTGAGCCCTCTCCGGCCCGGCACGGTGCCGCAAGAGCCAAGACGGAGGCCCCCTTATAAGCAGGGTTTCGGTTCCTTTAAAGGGATCCATCGGGTTATAGGGTTTAGGGATTAAGGTTTAGAGTTTAGGGTTCATGGGTGGCTATAAGTAGGGTTCTAAGTAGGGTAGGTATACTTATAACCCATATTAGGCGCCTTACAACCTCACTTTTAACTTCCCCGAACCTCCAAGTAACCGTGATTATCTCAGGATGACTGCATCCTCCAAGGACCAGGGCTCGGGTGAAGCGGTTTGCCATACAGCAAACACCATCGCCGAACCGGACCTGAGACCAAAACTTCCAGAGGTCCTTAGAATGAATGCTCTGAGCAAGCCAGCCGTCACACATCTTCGGTGTGGCATAAGACGCCACAACTCAATGCAAAGACTCCTGTTCACAGACGAAGGCTGGCAGCCACACCGAGCGGCTCCCTGCAAAACCCGAGATTAGCTAGGTTCCTGAGTAGCCCTTTTACAATAAGGGTACCCTTGTTCCTACTATGCGGTTTTAATTTCATGAAAGGGGCAAAAGGGTACTACTCAGCCTAGTAAACCCATAGATCCCTGAAAGAACCCCCTTAAGGACATCTTATCGGATCCCTTAAAGGATCCCGTTAAGGATCCTAAGGCCGGAGAGACCACAGACCCAGCCTTGAGAAACTGCACACCACAAAAGCCTCAGAGACCCAAGTCCTGTAACCACCAGACCCCCACCCAAAAAAAAAAACAACCTAGGGACCATTTACTAACATAAATTTCATATTGGGGTTCATAATAAGAACCTGCAGAAAGTAGGGTTAAGTAGTTTAAGGTATATAACTTATATAACCACCCTAAAACCTCAAACCCTTAAACCCAGACCCTAAAGCCGTAGAGGAATAGAATCGGAGAGCGTGAAACCCCTAAAACCTATAAGCTCCCAACAACTCATCCAAACCCAGAGCCCAAAACACTAACCCAAAACCCTAAACCCTAACACTACCTCCCTAAACCCAAAACCCTAAACTCCTAAACTCCGTAAACCCGAACCTAAAGCCCTAAACTCCCCAACCCTAAACCTTAAACCGGCGGGAGGCAGACCTCTGGGGTCTCCAGCGTGACGCCCAAATACTCCGCAAGAACGGGGGCCTGAGCTCACGGCTGAACGTGTACGGTGCGGGGTTTGGGGGTTTAGGCTTTAGGGATTCAGGGATTCAGGGGTTTAGGGGCTTAGGGGTTAAAGGGTTTAGGGGTTTAGGGTGTAGAGGTTCAGAGGTTTAGTGATTCAGGGACTTTGGGTCGAGTCATGGGGCCTGACAAGGTTAACATCATAGGGTCTTGCAGTGCTTTGGAGTTTTAACTCATAGGGTTGGTAAGACGCTTTAGATGGTTTTAGGATGCTCTACACGTTTATCAGGAAACCGGAAACTCTCCACACAACGACATAAATCCGCGGACCGAATGGTATCTTGCTGGCCAACAAAGCAGCTCTTCCGTCTGCACATGTCTAGCGGCGAAAATTACCCAGATCAGTCCAAATACCAGATAGCAGGATTTTAGGTGC